GTCAAGAGGAAAAGTGGGCCATTGTAGTAATGTGGAACAAATCTGGGATGTCATACTTAGTTTGAATAGGTCAAGCTGAAAGACAGTTGGATGGTTTCTATCATCTCATGCCGGTGAGAGAGAAGGGCAGGGTGATGGAAAGTTGATGTGTCCCATTTTATCAGCTGAAACTTCTGGAATAACCAAACTGTGTTCGCCTCAGTGTATCTAGTAAAACCGGTTTTTGGTGATTTGCAGGTAAAACAGAAAACAGGGCTTTATCAGGTTGATGTTTTTTGGGTTCCAAGTATTATTTATCTGGTATTTTCTGAAGTGCCACATTTTACATTGATATACCTTTACATTTAAAATACTCTATAAAACACTTTCCCTTTCCGATATCTGTTGAACATCTTACCAGCAAACAACCAACTCAGTGATTGCTGGGAAATGACACTCAGTGCTTTTATGATTCATTGTAAAAGGTGGAACCGTCTGTAAAGTTAAATAAACGTAGCTACAACGTTAGAATAGTGCTTAAATGTTAATGTTTAAATAATAAGAATCTATTAAAACGATGCAAATCTCACAGGGGGCATTTTCCTGCATTATAATGTATTTTATTGCGTGTCATCTTAAGGATCCATTTGATTCCTTTTTAATCGTACACCCTTGACATGCTGCTTGCGGACCTGTTTGCTCTGCACTCATCGTTCCTCCTCCACTGGTGTCTGATGAAAAAGGAACTGGTCCATTAACTCGTGTGCAAAGCGCCTTTAAGATATGTGAATCACAAGAAGTTGATATGACTCTGGCACAGTAGGCGGTCCAGGCAGTTTCATTTGAAGGTTTATTAGATTGTCTAACTTGCACATGCACATGCAGTGTAGTTGGAGTTTGCATGCTGAGCGCATTAGACAATGTAAAACAAATGAGTCTTCCTCCACAGTTTGACATGATCTGAATTTGTGCAAACTCTGAAGTATAAGCAGCCGCGCCTTAGGCAGGATGTGATCTGCTCATTTCCACTTTGAAATTCACACGCATAGACACCACGAGAAACACAAACACATCCATAAATGTTTTAATGCATTTTTGAGATATTTGACCTCTCTGTTGGAAAGACACAGACACAGTGTCCACCATACCTCTCTACCACTTTGGAGAAGATATATCTAAATGAAAGGGGTCAGCCCCCAAAGTGAAAGATAATAGAAAAGAAGTATAGGAGTTAGAGAGGAGAGAGTGCAGCTTGGGTGAGTGAAGAAAAGAGAATAGAAAGAAGCACGGCAGGCAGAGCGGTAGGACAGAAGTGCTTTAAGAAAATAATTTGCTCTCTTTAACTGCTGTAGAGAACAGGGAGTGCGAGAAGGATAGTGAGATATGGGGAGGAAGTGGAATGAAATGGTGACATGGCTGACGTTGTGTGCATGTTAGTGTGTATGTGTATCAAGTGGGGGCTTATTTCCCCATAGATCTCATTAAAGGCTTCAAGTCCCCCTGCACTTGGCCTGCAGCAAAAGGCCAGAGGGACAGAGAGAGAGAGATAGACAGAGAGAGAGAGACTCTTGTATAGATAGACAGAGCTGATGCAGAATGATGGAGGGAGAAGAAAGTGCAGGGAGAATAAGATAGAGATAGGCAGCGGAAGATAAAGAGCAGCATGGACAGAGAGAGTGGGCGCATGTGAGTGGGAAAGTGTGATCACAGCTTCAGGAGACAAGACCACATTTTTAGTCTGCATAATGAAAGAAAAACAGGAGAGAAACAGAAGGGCTGAAAGCTGCGTTAAGATTTTAATGTAAAACATATCAAGGTTTTAAGTTATATAAAAGCTGTGACATTGACATATTCATATTAACATACATGTGTTCATATGTTTCTTCTCTGTACTTCCCCACACCTCCACCACTTTCACCCAATAGCCCTAAAGACTTCACATATACAACATCAAATAAACAAAGCACACAACATCACCTCAATGACTAGTTTCATGTGCTACAGTTTTTTTTGGCTTGTTCTATTAATGTTTTGTCTTGCAAAAAATTGTAACATTTAGGGCAGTAATAGATGACAAGCATCCCAGTTATTTTTGTGTTTTCACAGTGTCCTTGTTCATTTTTGCGCATGAAGTGGAAGAAGATATTTTACATAGTTGCAAAGACATTATACCACAGTGTAAAAATACCAGTAAACGTTTTCCACTCAAAACACTCAAAACTCTATTGACAATTAATGTATTTCTAAATGGTGTGTTGTGTTATCTGTATTGTATTAAACATTACACAACAGAGCTGCTGTTGTTGCAAAAGCCAAAGACACACTTTCACTGAGGTGGGCAATAAAGTCAATCTAATCTAATCTAATGTGGAAAGATGTGATACTGAAAGCACCCAGGGGAATGCTCTGAGTACACGGGTACATTTTATTTTGCAGAATCGGGAACACTGGGCTAATTTAAAGCCCATTTAAAGCTCATTTAAAAAACATTATCTGGGTCCAAAAAATCAGTCCCCATTCATTGTCTATGGACATAGTTAGATTTTGAATGTATTACTGAGTATTTTAACATTTTCATTGGTACTTTTGGGAGCACATTTTTTATTTTTGTTGTACTAGCTGACAGAACCTGTTTTTTTGTAATCATATTGAGCTCTAATCATCCAGAATGCTAGCATGAATAAGTACAAATGAAGAACAGCATCTTGGCATTTTTCTTTTTCATAATCTGACACCAAGACATATATCTTCAAATCGCTTTTACAAACTAACAACTCCAGCATCCATTTAGTCTTACCAAGAAGCTCTCTCACCACTAGAGGGCGCCACAAACACTCAACTGCAAGTGCACCATTTGAGGTTTAGAACAAGTGAACTATGACCATAGGTAGCTATGAAATGTATTGCAATATAATAAAAGTACAATTTACAGGCTGTACTATTGCATTTCTAACAGTACAGCGAAACAGTTTTGAATGCCTTGTAGGAATGAGGAAATTGTGATGAGCCTTAATTAGCTGGCCGGTTAGAAACTGTACAATCAATTACATTCTTGGAAGCAGATCAATAAGCAGCGTGGCTGCCTCAGTGAAATCTGCAACTATCTGAAGGTTTTTAGGTTCAAAGCAAAGCTATAGCACATATTTTAATCTCCATTGTTCTATTATAATTGTCATTGCTTTTTATTGTTCAAGTTAACTATGGGAATATTACTCCTGCACAATAACTGAATCATAATCCTTATTATCATTTATCATTTATTCTAGCTGGCATCCTTTTTTGGGACTGTAATTGTAGTGGGTATGATTGTGGTGTGTGTGTGAAAAACAAATCTAATATAAAAGTAGACACACCCTTTTATCCTCTTTCCCGCTCATACGCTAGACATTTCCCTCCCTTTTACTGCTCTCTTTTGCTTTACACACACACACACACACACACACACACACACACACACACACACACACACACACACACACACACACACCACACACACACACACACACACACACCACACACACACACACACACACACACACACACACACACACTAATGCACACACACAAACACATGCACAGCCTCCCAGTACCCCATCTCCAAGGGAACACAGTGATGTCTCTATGGCAACAAGCAGCTTGCTCCACTAATGAACCGGTTGCCGTGGCTACAAGGTTGGCTGTGCGAGAACGGAGTTACTGAATAAAATAGAAGGAGAAAATGTAATATTACTTCTACTCTGTTGGAAAAAAAAACCTTATGCAGAGGAAAGGACAGCCACACACACACACACACACACACACACACACACACACACACACACACACACACACACACGTTTGTTGGCTATGTGAGAGATTAAGATGAGTGACAGTTACTGAGAGAACGCTCTGGGTTAGAAGCTGTATATCTGAGAAGAGAGCCAATGCCGTGATGCAGTAGGAGGCAGGGATCCTTGCATCTGTACTCTGCATGCATGGGCCAATCATCCTGCTGTAGCCTCAAGGTCAGAGACTTCACTCTGGGCAAGGAGAGGGAGTGAGCGATGGAGAGAAAGAAGGAGAGAGAGTGGTGCCAAAAACCTTCTGTCAGCCATCTGTGTAGTGAGTTACATCCCACTTTGCTGACTGAGCCTCTAAGCTGTTATGCATTTGGCCATTCACGACCCCACCGAAGACACTAAAGCTGCACAAAACTGCAATTCATGTACTCTCTGTTGACCGAGGTCACTGGGAATCACCCACTTCATTCTGGGCCTGTCTCCCCCTGCTGGATCACCGGGGGAACAGCCTCAGTGTGCTGCAGTCAGGCTGGAGCATCCCTTGCCACAAGATTGTCTTGTAGACAGTAGTGACATCTACAAGGGGACCTTAATGAGTTTTAGGGGTAACGAGATTAAAACGTAGGTAAACTGATCAATGCATTTTGCCATTGTAGTTTGTCAAGGTAGAGTTTTAAACATAAACATTATACAAAGTCGTGTTTTTGAAAAACAACTGAGGAGCCCCATTTAGGCAGTGTTTTCCGTAAATAACTACTTTAAGACAAATAATAAGCTTTATTTCCCTTTGCACCAAAGCTCTAGTTCGTGAAATGTGGTTCATTCTGCAACAGTTAATTCAAAACATCCTAATTTTAGCATCTTTGCATTAGTAACAGTTCATTTGTCAAAGCACAGATGGTTTGGCCACCAACACATTACAGATCAGTTCACCCGTATGAGGCAGATTGCAGCCAAGTTAAATAGTTCTTAAAACTCGGTTTCACTCACTCACTTTTAAAGTGACTATTAATAACTCGTCATTGACTTCCCTTTTTCTGCCCTTTATATTTGTAACCTTGTTCAATGCTGTCAAATGAAATGTTAATCTCTTGTTAACCCCAATATTTTTCTCAGATTCATCACATGGTAAGATTTTGATTAATGAAATCATTTTTATGTCTTTACATTTAGAGTTTACCAAATAACCAATGTAAATGAAAACTTAAAGCTGACCTACGTCTCCCTCTGTCTCTCCTGCAGAAATGTTTGCGCTTTAACCCAGAGGCCACGGTGTGGAAGGCCAAGCAGCAGGTGCTGTGCTCCCTGACCGAATCTCTGCGGGACGTCCTGAACTATGGTCTGTTCCAGCCCGCCACTGATGGTCATGATGCCAAATTCCTGGAGGAGGAGAGGCTGCTCAGAGAGTACCCACAGTCCTTTGAAAAAGGGGTACCATATTTAGAGGTAATATTCCAGTCCTCCATTGACACATTATTACACAATAGAGAAGAGATGTAGCTTGCATGTCCTCAGGATGTCACTGTTTTTCAATAACGAATGATCAAAATCTGAATCTAATGTAATCTTAAAAAGTTTAGATACATGTCAGATAAATGTCAACTTTCTTTTAAATAATTATGGTGTCGTTGGAAGGAGCAATAGAATTCCAAAAAATACTTTTGTAAAGGAATACTTGGGACCATGTTTACTGTACAGCTTTTTCTATTTTACGTCAAGATTCAAGATGAACTACACCTACTGTAAATGCTCCTTGTGACATTTTATGTATGGCAAAGCAGACAAGGCTTTGCTCTATAATACATCTGTAGACCCATTTAGTAAATCTAGGCCAAAAGCTAAGAGAATTAAGGACAAACGCCCTCGGAGTAAGGCTTCACTTTTCTTCTTCTCTCTTGTGTTTAGTTTCGATACAAGACCAGGGTGTACAAACAGACCAATCTGGATGAGAAGCAACTAGCCAAACTGCACACCAAGGTATGAAATCCATGTATGAAATGCCCCGAGGGTAAATCCCTGAAGGGTTTCAGCTGCACGTTTTAAATCAATACTATACAGTATGCATGTCACTGCATTAACAATATTTAAAATACTCTCTCTGCATGCAGGCTAGTCTGAAGAAATTCATGGATTATATCCAAACCAGCGCTGTGGACAAGATGACGAAGTTCTTAGACAAAGGCCTCGATCCCAACTATCAGGACCCTGACACCGGCGGTAAGGAGTGCCTCAGAGCCTGAGGATTTGTTTCATCCACAGCGTCATCATTTTATCTATTATCATACATTCATAGCAATTACAGACTGCAGTTGTATGTGCTTGAGAAATAAATTAGAAAGAAAAAATGATGTTAAAGTCAAAGAGAGCCATATAAACTGTACATATGCCCATCTACACACAATTATATTGCAAAATCTAATCCCTTATATGTCTCTCTATATTTACTGAACTGTTCTTTCTTTCCATCAAACATATAAACGTGTATCTGAGGTTTAACATCCATTATTGGTTAATCATTTTCTCTCAGATATATTAGCAGCTTTTTGAACTGGAGCTCTGCCCATCTCCCCCTCGTTATTTCTGCGCTAAGCTCTCTTTGTTGGCCTAACACTTTGTCAAGGATCTGGGCCAGTGTTGTTCACAATTGTGTGTCTTTTCTCAGATCCCGGCAGTGCTTGGGGGGCGCAGCAGACTGCTCTTTTACAGTTTGGGTGTGCTCTGCTGTGTCATTCCAGCAGCTGTGGGAGCAAAGTGTCACAACACAAACACAGGCTGTCATCATGGGTGTGAAACACATTTCCATTTCAGAACACCAGGGGGCAATCGACAACCCTGATGAAGTCCCCTCAATAACATACTCACATCATCAGACCCACACACCTTACACATTAAAATGGGATATTGCTAAACTGGACATTAGGGTTACATTTTTGCTTCTATGCTTTTCTATGCTACATTTGAATGATACCATCCAAAATTGACAGAGCCAAGGGTAACTGTAACAGAATTAATGGTAACACTTTATATTAAGGTACACAAATTGACCACCAACTAGTTTATGTGTTATGCTATGTTATGTTATGCTATGCATGAAATTCTTTATTATTCCGCCGGGTTATTTTGCACCTCTTCTTCTCCCACATTCCACATCGCAGAAACTCTGTTCAAACATCAAAATGTTCAGCTCGGTCGGCAATTGATGGCTATTCATTTTTGTATTCATAACTTTCATAATTCCAGAGATACATCCCATAATTCATCAAATGTTTAACATGGAAGTCAATGGAGAAACTCTTCACACTTGAACAATCTTCATGCAACTTCAACTGCTAACTGCTCCTTCATACTTTCACTCAGAAACCTCATTCCAACTTTAAAATGTTACACATCTTTCTGACATTATTCGTCTAACACAACTTTTGAATCTGATTCGTACTTTTAGAGATATTAAACATTGTTCAGACCTTGGTAAAGAGGCCTTCTTCAGATTTTAGAGTGCGTGATGTCACAGCTAGAGTGGAGGACAGATTTAATTTTGCCTTCATGTTTTCTTTTAAACCTGCCATAATTCCCAAACCCTACATTCCTGAGAAATAATTTTTCATGAGAAACGTAGGAAAACATCTCGTAGCTTGAAAAATAAAAATAAATTAAGCAAAATAATTAAACAAAATGCCTCTTGAGTGCATGAAGTGACAAAAACGTTCAACATGTCTCCATTAAACTCCATTGTAAATTCAGCCTCATCTTTCCCCACCACAGCAGCCGCACACCTTTAGTTAATCTGCCAAAAAGGCCACATTATTAACCCGAAAGTACACAAAAAGTACACTTCAGATTCTCAAGTTCCTTGACATGCTTCACGCTTTGAAACTTCACCGATATCTGTTACGGTTCTTCAACAAAACGTTCACATGTAAGAGGTTTATCTCTCATTCAGAACAATGCAAATGCTCTCCTTTTACTGATTACTGCACATCACCATGGAAACCTTTGATCTCTGGACACGTCGTTTGCTCAAATATAAACACCTGTGTCATGGTACACGATGATGTCATAACTCCAACTGACATGCTCAGAGCAGCAGACTTCAGATAATGGTTAACACAGCTCTACGTCAATTATGGGGTGTCATCCTATGCCGTTGTTCCATGGAAACGCATCCTTCGCCATAAAACAAGATGTCGCTGTAACTCCAATGGACACGGTCCGATCGTCCCCCAAACTTCGCTTGTATATTTCCGGCCCATGCCTCAACAGCTCTACACCAAATCTGAGATCTCACCATATGCTGTTGCCATGGAAACGCATCCCTCGCCATAAAACACGATGTTGTCGTGATACCTATGCAAATGGTCTAAAACAGCACCAGACTTCAGATGACAGTTAATGGTCCGGCCCTCAACAGCTCTATGTCAATTATGGGGTGTCATCATATGCCGTTTCCATGGAAACGCATCCCTCGCCATGAAACACGATGTCGCTGTAACTCCAATGGACACTGTCCGATCGTCCCCAAACTTCGCTTGTATATCACCGGCCCATGCTTCAACAGCTCTATGCCAAATCTGAGATCTCACCATGGGAAACGCATCCCTCGCCAAAAAACACGATGTTGTCGTAACTGATATGAAAATGGTCAAAACACCACCAGACTTCAGATGACAGTTAATGGTCCAGCCCTCAACATGTCTATGTGCCATTAGTGAGTTTTCCTCAAAAGCTGTTGCCATGGCAATAAAACACGATATTACTATAACATGAAAATTGTCAAAAAGTGCTAAAACTTCACGTGTGCTAACAGTCCAGCCGTGAAGACATCTACGGGACAGTTTTGAGATTTCTTCAAATGCCGTTGCCATGGCAACACATGCTCGCCATCAAACACGGTTTTCTCATAACTTCAGTGAAAATGCTCCAAACAGCCCAAAACTTCACAGGTTTGGTAACGATGCAGCCATCAACATATCTAAGTGTATTATGGGGTGTCATCAAATACCGTTTCCATGGCGACAGATCATTCACCATCAAGTTAGTTTAATAGTTTGCAGTTCAAATATTCTGCTGCTTTTCCATGCCATTTTACTTTCCTTTCTTCTCTCATCACACATTCAAGCCCCCAGTGTTCATGTATCATTTCAATCTAAATTCTTCACTTTCTTCTTACACATTATATTTCAGCATAGCAATTCAGCGTCAGCTTTTCAGCATAAAGCATTCCCACTAGCAATTTCTTCAGGAATTGCATTCTCTAGTTGTTAATTAACATGCATATTAGCAGTATATTGGCTCTTTATTAGTCATTATAAAACACTTATTAATGCCTTATTCTACATGACCGTATTCTACAAGTAGTAGGCCATTAGTTGAGAGTTTCTCCTCAATAACCCTCTAATTAGTGCTTATGTATTGTAAGGAAGTTGTTGTAGGCTACATGAGTTTTGGTCTTAATATGCTCTGCTCAATATGGGCCTAATAAGGCAGTAGTACCACAAGAATAGTAATTCTCCCATAATGACACTTAACAAATATGGTATTCTTATGTAACAAGAAATGAAACTATAAGTGTTAAATGTGGTATTTATATCTAAGAATATGTTTTGGGGTATTGACAGTTCAGCTACACTCACCTGTATATTTGTTATTTGCACATTTATATATGTGTAACATTTGTACGGAAGGTTAGAGAGGAAACTGGGTACAGGAAGTAGGAGAAAGTGAACTGGCAGACAGTAGACTGCTACTAACTTTCTCTATGCAACCTGAAGAGTAAAAGGGTCAAGTCCGTCAGAAAGCAATGACTGTAAGTGTAAGCGTAAGCCTAACACTTACACTGTAAGGATTAGTAACACGTATTGTGTTTATGTGATGACATTTGAAGATGTTTTAAACACAATGAGAAAATGCGTTGGGTTAGCATTCGCGCTAGCGTTAGCATACATGGTAGCGTTAGCCATACTAGCCTGTACAGTCTACATTAGGGTGACCAGATGTCCCCGTTTTCCGGGGACAGTCCCCGTTTTTATTGGCTTGTCCCCGGTTGAAACTGTCCCCGGAAATGTCCCCGTTTTTTAATATACGTTAAAATCACATAGCAAGGTGAAATAAAACGTTTCATGTCATGAAACAATGGGTAAACAGAGTATAGGCCTACTGCTCATTATTCTCATCCAATCATGGACATGTAAAGCTGCTACCAATATTAGTAATATATTGTAAGATAAATGATAGCACATCAGTGGAAACAAAACTACTCTATTTTGTTGAACTCAAAGGAGAAACAGCATAGGAAATTGCAGCTGAGGTCCTGGTGGTTATCCAAAAATTCAACAAACAGTTTGATCTCTTTGTCCCAGTGTGTCTGACAGTTGTGTCTCTCTGTTGAAGTGTCTTTGATAGTATGTAATTTTGCTAGTGTTACTTGTCTGTTGTCTCTATATCTTGTACATTTTAATTATCAAATACACTTGAGGCTATAACCTATGTAGTTTGAAAATGTTTTGTTATTAACTATGAAACACTCAATAAGTGAGTTAATACTTTACTCTAACTTCACTTACCATGGTATTGAAATCAGATTTTCTGAAAGGTTTCATTAATTAGTTAGTTAGTTAGTTACCATTTATAGTAATTAGTTAGTACACATCAGTTTATTACAGCAGTTAAAATGTTCGAATTACATTGAACCAGAATTGTCCCCCCTTTTTCTTTAGCAGTAAAGAAAATTGGATATGTTAATGATATATTGACTGCAAAACTCAAAATGTTAATGATATATTGACTGCAAAACTCAAAATGTTAATGATATATTGACTGCAAAACTCAAAATGTCCCCGGTTTTAATTTTGAAAATCTGGTCACCTTAGCCTACATGCTTATTGCACAGCTAGCATTAGCTATATTTACCTTGTTTACACTTAGAGGTCCTATGTGTTAATCTGTGTATGTTACACTTGCATGTATGAGATCATTAAGTGCCTTGTAACTTCTTTTTTTATAGTTTCACTCCGTTTGAATGTCAGTGGACTGCAAATAAGTCAATAAAGTAGCATGGCTGCTCATTCCCTGGCTCTCAAAAGAGTTTGGCTGGCTGTGTAATCTATGTTCACACAGACAGTACAACACATAGAGAGAACAGTACACCTATTGTGTAAGTACGTACAAGCAGGTCACACAGTATGATCACAAATACATAACATCTGTTAAAAATCTGTTTTTATTAAAAAGTACAGGCTGCATATGTGTTCTCAGCCTTGGAGAAACATGACATGTTTTGGTACATGTTTCTGAAATGTTGTGGTTTAATAAAACAGATATTTCAACGTGTGCCTAATTTGTTCATGTACTGTTGAGGTTAATTTCAGTAGTTGTGTGCTTCCCTTTAAACTGTGGGTTTTCTCCGGAAGTTTTTCCTTGTACGATGTGAGGGTCTAAGGACAGAGGGTGTCGTATTGTCATACTGATATTCTGTACAAACTGTGAAGTCCACTGAGACAAATGTAACATTTGTGATATTGGGCTATATAAATAAACATTGATTGATTGATATAATGTATTTGCAAAGTGTGAAGAGGAGGCAACTTTAGAATAGGGAACCTGTTCAGTTCCATTCGAGTCAAACTACTAGCGTATTGGTTATGAACAAGACTTCACTTTAAAATAGGGAACATATTCTTAAATAGAAATACCTAATTAGAGTCAAACTACTAGCTTATTTGTTATGAACAAGACTTCACTTTAAAATAGGGAATATGTTCTTAGATATAAATACCTAATTTAGACACAATTAACACTTGTAGTTTCATGTCTTGTTACATAAGAATAGATCATACTTGTTAAGTGTTATTATGGGAGAATTACTATTCGTGTGGTACTACTGCCTTATTAGGCCCATATTGAGCAGAGCATATTAAGACCAAAACTCATGTACAACAACTTCCTTATTTGCAATAAATAAGCACTAATTAGAGGGTTATTGTGGAAAAACTCAACTAATGGCCTATTGCTTGTAGAATACGGTCATGTAGAATAAGGCATTAATAAGTGTTTTATAATGACTAATAAAGAGCCAATATACTGCTAATATGCATGTTAATTAACAACTAGTTGATGGTTAATTTGTGTACCTTAATATAAAGTGTTACCGAATTAATTAATGAAGTTATATTAACGTTTTTACCACAATGACCTTGCCTTAGAACAGTGAAGGTTTGCTATAAAACTCACTAAATCCATGTGTTCAACCTAAATCTAAATGTTGAAATGTTCTTCTTCATGATTTCAAGTGGAATCTCCTTCTTTCTTGACTTTCAGTTTGAATCAAAGTGTCCATTAACTATTAGGTCTATGGTATTAGGTTTTGGATTGGCAAAGAGACGATCAAAAGCATTTTTTTTACATGCAACCTGCCTGTCTCTGAAACATTTTCTTCATGTTTTACCACCCAGCAGAAGGCTCACACAGAGTTACCACGTTCAGCATGGCTCAGGTCCATCTCTGCCAGAGGAACTGTTTAGTAGGCAGCCGTCAAAACATTCGCCCCAAATGATTTGTACTTGAGCTCTCCAGAATCAGTTTGAGGATAAAAGCGCTCAGTCTTTGTCCTCTTTGCCAAAAACTCTTGTGTTGCCTGGCAGCCAATGCCCTGTACCCTTTTTTACTTTTTTGTGGGAACACTTTGATTGCTTTTATTCTTATAGGGGCCATTGTACCTTCTTCCTCAAGAAATTGAAGTATGTTAAGTGAAGTTAAAGTGTTGTGACACTGCACTGCTTTGTTTTGAAATCTTTGGAGCTCCATTTCATGTTAGCATAATTGGCAAAGTATGATGTAGCAGGCATCAGTAAGAATAAATGCTTTGATATTGACTTTAAAGCTAATGTTGCTACCTGTAGGATAAAACCAATCTGGAGAGGTAATTCTTAGAAGAGCTTTTATTTTATATTACATTTAATCAGAAGTTAATTCGAACATATGCGGGAAACTTTAAAGCGCTGAATTCTTTCAGGGTTTGTGGTGACCTGGAAATAATTTATAATATAATTTCACTCATGCTGGGGATTTAAGTGATTTTTGTTTGAACTCTCTGTCAGAAGGGACAGTGGCGGATGCAAGCTGTCTGGAACACCTTGGAGGGCAATTTATAATGTTTTCTCAATTTAAGGGAATCAAAAAGGCACATATGCTGCATTTTTTAATGAAGGACCCCCACCAACAACTCCACAGGGTAGTTTGAAGCAAAAAAACATTGGGGCAACATAAACACAGTTTCAGAAGAGGTGGACAGTTCATTATTTTTTTGGAGTTCAATATTTGTTAATATGTTTTTTGTCTAACCTACAAGGAGAATGGTGCAGGTGTTAAAATGTATTGTTTTCAAGTGGACCCCTAGGAGCAAACAATCTGGACAGTGCCCTCCAAATAATTTGACTTTCAAACCAATCCTTTTGTGGTAATGAAAAACTCTTGAATCTCTGTGTGTGTGTCCCCCAGAGACGGCTCTGTCCCTGGCGGTGCAGTGTGAGCCGGGTGGAGGGGAGTCCATCCGGGTCCTGGTGGAGGGGGGGGCTCACATTGACTTCCGCGCCAAAGATGGACTCACACCCTTACACAAAGCTGTGCGAGGCCACCGCCATACAGCCCTGCTGGTAAACATGGACTCACATTTTATCCTTTTTTTTTAGATATGCTGTTATCTAATTACGAGTAATGTTTTTTCATTGTCATGCCATTAAAAAAGAAAAGAAAATCGAACCTACACTTGGGCACTGAAACGAACACTATCTTCATTTGTGTTGCTCTGTAAGCAAATGGACTAAAGACTGATTAAGCAAACATTCGCACGCAACAATCAACACTCAACACTCACCCACACACAAAGAACAAGAACAAAAACACTTATATTATTCTATTCATCCAGAGAGGGAAAAAAACATTTAAATTCAGATTGCCTGGATTAAAAGTGTGTATTTAAGGCATTTGTCCAGAACTTATGCTCCCACACCTTCGATAAGTAAGGCATGTGAAGAGGGATCAAAATAATTTAGGGGGTAGTAATTGCATGTGGTACATTGTCAGAGAAAACGTTTTTCACAAAGGAAAGAAACAGCTGCATAAATAAACTGCAGACTCTGATTGAATACATCATTCTCTCTAGCCCAAGGCACTGAATGACCTCTGTGAATCCCTGACTATGTGTTCGCATCCTTCTATAAAATCCCATGAATATTCCTTGACTGGAAGTTGGAAATCACCTTATGATATTTTCCTTGCTGCCTTTTTTTTGTTGATATAATTTTAGCACATATAAGTCATTGATTTGAATTTAAATAGAAAGTAACTGATTTTTCACTGCATTATTATCTTCCCTGTGTCTCTCTGCAGGTCCTGCTGTCCCTGGGTGCGTCTGTAGACTATAAGGACCGGCGAGGGCTGACACCGCTCTATCACACTGTGCTGACGGGGGGGGACACCTCCTGCTGTGAAACACTGCTCTACCACCACGCCAAACTGGGCATCAGGGACGAGAACGGCTGGGACGAGACACATCAGGTACTGTCCGGTTAAACTACTTCTAATCAACAGCAGAGGATGCTTCGTGTTTTTTGTATCCAGTGGTGTCAGTGTTCTAATTTGTGTCTATTTTTAACTTGGGATTTTAAATGCTGTTGTATGTATTAGTGCAGTGGTTCCCAAGGGGGGCGCGCCCCCCAGGTTGGGATCTTTTGGGGGCGCCAAAGATCGCAGGGGGGGCGCCAGGCCTCAGATGATTTGAGGCCAAATATCATATTTAGATTTTTTTAATTTTTTTAAATTATAAAAAAAATTACATAGAATTGTAACGCAATACATGATTGTCACTATAAGCCTTGTCTCTACATTACAATAAAATATAAAAAATAATTGATTAATTAATTTGAATACAAATTCAAGTTAGTAGCTATTATAGGCATAAAAACACAGAAATGTATAATTCTTTCTTTAATAGAAATGTTTCTTCTGCGCGTAAAGTGTCCAAACCGGGCTTGTCTGGATAAGCGCATTTTTAGTCATTGTCCATGCCGGTTTCAGTTGGATTATTTGTCGCAGTTGCTCCGATCAGATCGGTCTCCTCCATTTTTTAGATTATTTACGACTTTTGAATCCACATAAACACATCGGCAAAATCCGGCTTACTTTGAGCATGTGTTTTAAACAGTTTAATCCCTTTGTGAATTGTTTCCACTTCCGCGGCCGTCCTTTAATTTCTTCATACAGCGGGAATCCAAATGAATTAATCCTGAGTCCAATAACCATCAAAGTCACTCCAATAGTGCTCCTTAATTACGCTTTCATCCTCCTTTAACAACATACTTCACATTAATTCAGTTTGTGACAGTAGTTGTTGCATTTATGAGACTTTTAAACTTTAATAACCGCTGTTGCAGGGCGCAAATTCCAACAGGAGTCATTTGGGGGGGCTCTTGGGGAAAAAGGTTGGGAACCACTGTATTAGTGGGCATGCACCCTTGTTGTAATGCACCAGTGTACTCTATGTTCCAGTGTCTCCGTATGTACAGCGTCTGTCTGGGTCAAAAAACATTCATGCCATGAAACTCCACCCATCTTTTATCTCGGACACCTTTCACCCTTCATCCCATCCACAAAGCTTCTGTGGCAACATTTTCCAGCAGTGAAGTGGACAGAAAATAAAGGTATCAGCATCTTCTATCGGCTATGTAAGTGTTACTGCACTTACCTTTGCAAAGAAAAATGTATGGTTGAGGTGTAGGTTAAAAAGAAATATATATGTTGCCCTTACTACTGCTGTATACTGCTGCCATATTTTCACTACACGATCATCATGGACGAAATAATAAAAAAGTAACACTATTATTGAATTATCTTTAGAAACCTGTGTTATTGGCTTCAATTAAGCAATTACTAAATAATTTAAGAGATGCTGGATTCTTTACACAATGTTAACATATGTTTATGGTATCAACATTTCATTTTTCAAATTAAAACTTTTTCTCATCAATCCCACTATACCGTTTCCCTCTCCTATTCCTTTACCACTGAATAGTAAGGTAACATTATTATTAATTTCATTTAATCATTTTCAAACCAAGTTAACTGGTATTGTATAGTATGAAGCAGTGTTGCCATGATAACTTGTAGTTTAATATCTGTTCTCCGCAAAATTATATTGAAATAAGCATTTATTATGCAATGGCATAATTGATAACACCATAAATTGCCTATGACTAAGTGATATACAGTTATCTGTTTTGATTTCCCTTATATGATGGGCTGGATTTGTGTAACCATACTGTATGGATTCTACAATTATTATTTTGATTAGATCTCACTTGTGTTCCCTCTGTGTTTTCACACCCTCTGAGTTAGGTGTTAATTAAATGTTGTGTCACTTGATCCATGTCACCCTGTTCCTGTCCCTTTGTCACTGTGTGTTCTTCATCATTGTTTGCTTCTCTGCCTTTCTGTTATCTCTATCAAACGTAACCTTATAAATCCTTCCTGTTTTACTCGTTGGTACATTTTCTTACTTTCCTTACAAACTCTTTGTCCTTCCACCTCTTCCTGTCCTACCATGACTCCTCCACAATCTGTTCATGTTCTGTCAGGCCTGTCAAAATGGTAACTCGCAGCATCTGGAGCACCTCCTCTTCTATGGGGCAGATTCTTCCTCCCAGAATGCCTCTGGAAACACTGCCTTGCACATCTGTGCTTTATACAACAAGGTAGACACATTTTCTTTTAACGGGGATCAAATGTCAGCTACACAGTAAAGAACACTTTAGTATAAAAACATTTAAAGATACAGTATAACAAGGTGAATGCAACATAAATGCTCTTTATCTTTGCTATTTAATCAAAAATAGAACACTTTTATACCTGTATATTTGATTTGAATTGTATGGTATACCTTTCTAAAAAATCAGTTTTAACTATTAGTACAATAGTACAAAATGTCAATAGAAGGTAATACTTTGCTTTATTAAGCTAATGCTTACAACAGAAAAGGTGCATTTCAACATTAAACAGCAATTCTACAATTCATGTACACTAATCAGTGAGGTTTGTTGCAGGAAAGCTGTTCGCGAATACTGCTCTACAGGGGAGCAAATAAAGACACAAAGAACAACAGTGGGCAGACCGCTTTTCAGGTAATGGCTGTGCGCCTGGCTGAGTAATTATGCATGTTGGGTGGTGTTATGGTTTAGTGTCTTATTAAGTTAGCGTAGCAGAAAATGCCAGGGCCTAATTTCACTTCAAACCATTAGTGTGCTGCGATGCACACGGAGGTCCCAGGTGGCAGGAATGCGTGTGACCCCTTAATCTGGATATATTAACTCTGTCGATGCAGAACAAGCCAGCTGAGACAATCTGTTGTGTTTACGTGCATGAAAGAGAGGAAACGTGACGAGACAACAGGGAGAAAACACCAGTTTGGCAGACTTTGTGCTGGCCTTTGTAGCTTGCACCATTGCAAAATTGTGCAATGGTGGAAAGAACACAAACATGGTCTCACATGGATGTACTTATTTTGCTGTTCCTTTTAGTATCAAGAAAACAGCAAATCCATGTGAATATTGTTGAAATATGCCACGTCCATAAATCTGTTACATAATTTGTAAATTAGCCCATTAGGGGTACAAGTAGAGTGGACACAAAATGGGGTTAAACGAGTCAAGGGTCTGTTACACCATTTTATTTTGTGCATGCATTTGCCATAAGAGTGTATTTTACAAGAAGTTGTAAATGTGTGTGTGTGTTTGTGGGCCAGGTGGCTGTTATGTCAGGCAATTTTGAGCTGGGAGAAATCATCAAAAACCACCGGGACACAGATGTGGGTAAGTCGCTAAGGTCAGGCTTCATTTTGCATGCCAGTTTTGGGATGTGTAACGTTGCGTAATGACATTTTGTTTTATCTGACATTGAACATTTGATGATTCAGAGGTTCAATTCACAAGTATAGGGGAGCTATGACATAACGAATGTACAGGAGCAGCATTTACAGCACCCATCTGAGTATGTACACTCTGGATGGGGAGGTTGTGCAGTAAAAATGTGATTACAATGTACCTTTTTCTTTCACTATTTCCTGTCTCCCCTCCCAGTTCCCTTTGTGGAATCTCCAAAGTACGCCCCGCAGAGGAGAGAGAGCACCCGTACCCTGACGATACCTCACCCTCACCCCTTCCTCCGAGCAAACAGTGACAGCAGTATGAACCTCCCAGACTGGATGGCAGTGCCCAATGCCCCAGGGACCAATATTGTCTCTGTGCAGGTATGTGTGTGTGTGTGTGTGTGTGTGTGTGGGAACATTGAAAACAGCTCTCACCCCTAAGTCTATTTAGTAGCTTCTTGAGCTTTGATCTGAAGAACAGATGGCCCTGATAACTGGCTCCCACATGTGTGTTGTTTACTGTCATGTTCATTAATAGTCTTTTTCTGACACCATGACATTTTCGATGATAAAGAAAATGTTCATAAGATCTCTAAAACTTCTCATCCATGTTCACTTAAAATTGACGTTTAAAGTGATAATTGGCAGTGGAAACAGAAGTTGTCAAAACAACCCTACCTTGAGGTCTAGGTTTTGGAGCATTTGACATGTTTAGTTAATCCCCAATGAACACACACATCACTGATTATTGCAAAATGACACTCCTGGATTGTATTGTCATATTCAGAAGTTATCTGGGAAGGTATTGAATGTATTTTACTAACTTGTATTTCAGTACGATTGAGCTTGGAGAAATGATTAATGCACAGATAATGGATATTTACAATGCACAGATGGAAGCTTGAGCAATTTCATCCCTGTGATTAATATGCAAATCATACAATTTGACGGGGACTTTTACAATATAATGCATAACCTTTATCTACCTCTAGTGGTGAACAGTTCTCACTACAGCTTATATATCCTGCTTACTCGATTGAGCTATACATACATGTAGGTTCATAGATTCAAGGTTTATTATTATAACATATACAAAACTACATTTTAATCATCATGTAATGTAGGAACAACTTAGATGGCAGGTTCCTCAACAGTGCAATGGTCCTCTACTTTAGTCTGGGCAAGTGACCATGTTGTGTGATAGGCCATATGAATACCACATCATGGAATAAAACAGCATCATTTATTAGATGTTTGTACATGCATTAAAAATAAAGTTTTAATCATTTTATGAATGTTGTTTTTGAAAACATTTTGAGCTTTTTAAAGCAAAGTAAGTGAAATCACAGAATATATGTATACATTGAAATAATATAGTGTTACATATAAACATCTTTAAAGAAATATGTTTTCTCCCCCTTTCTTTGTTTGTCTGTCTCTGTTAGGGCTATAAACATACAGGAACCCTGCGGAGCTCCAGCAGTCCCAGAGGGGCGAGGACGCGCTCCCCGTCCCGAGGAAGAATCGGAGACAAGGAGGACCGGAGCAGGCAGAGTCGGAGACCGGGGTGAGGGGCAAACAGCTGGCATCTAATCACAAGATGCTGCTGAACAGGAACTTGTCTTTAAGCTAGGCTGGTTAAAGTATTATTGAGTCTGCAGGTCCCATAAGAGTCCTTAAAATGTTTTCGATGTAATTTAGTTTGGTTTAATTTAGTTTATTTATTTATAGTGTCGTGGACAGTCCCCATCAATGAACTGTCACAAAAACAGTAAATGGAGCAGCTTTAGCCGACATGGCTAATTTCCAGCGGTTGTCCCCGGCCAGATGGTAATAGACACCCTTAAAATCACAATATATCAACAGCATTAGTTATAAAAAAAAGAAATTAAAAAAAGGATGAAGGACAAGTAGATACAGGCGAAAGGATAAGAGAGGATAAAAGAGAACAATAAACAACACACGTTACTATATACAGTACATGTCACATATAGCACATCACAATCACACAACAGAAACGAGGGGCAACATCCATGATCACAACATGTAACACAACATGTAACACACACGCCATATTCAACACAGACTAGTGTGTGCAGGTGTAGTTCTCAGTGAACCATGTTTTTAAGTGAGCTGTGAAGGTGGTATGAGTTCCAGTTTTGTATTGCTCTGACCGAGAATGATGACTGACCAAAAGTACTCTTCCTGAATGGGACTGATAGGTCGCCACGTGTTACTACCTAAGTCATTAAAGGGTTGTAAAAGTCAATGTTTCATTTTTCAGGTCTTAAATATAGTTTCTATTTTTGTTATCGTGAGAGAGGTAATTCTTCAATGAGTTGTTTTGTAGGATTGGTTAGGGTACGCGGATTATTAAACCCAGGAATAAGCAATAATAAATAAAAAAGGTTTATGTCTGCCTTTTAATAAGTTATTTTACAACTTCTTATAAGGAGAATGCAATATATGTCAAATGAGTGTACACACCTTAAAATTGTCATAAATTAAACCAATACAATTTGACTTAATAGTAAAAATAGAAACATTATCTCATACAGTCCTAAAGATTGTTCAAATTCAATCTGAAGTTACCAGTTGAACATAGTCATTAAGTCACCCATACCTATAGGGAACTTCAAGTTTCAAACTTCGTTCTGATCTCCTGCTCCTCCAATCCAGGCCTGCCCCTGCCACCACGGCTGCACAGACCGCAGGCCAGCGGAGACGCCTTTACAGTGCTGTCCCAGGACGAGTCTTTGTAGCTACTCGATCACATTCTGCCCAGGGAGAGCGGGAAATCAGCTTTAATAAGGGTGAAAGGGTCAAAGGTGACTATGTTCATTTTCATATCAAGAAACACAATGTGTATGTGTGCGTGTGCTGGAGCATAATACTACATTTTGTCCTCCATGTATATTCAAAGTGTTTGTCTCAGTGTGTGTGATTCTGTTTACACCGGATTTAGACTGAAGGCAGGTTCAGAAACATGCAAAGCAACATTACAGAATCTTTTTAAAATATCTTAAAGTAGAAGATACCTCTCTGTTTAGGGCTTTGGCATCGCTCCAAATAGTTCCTTATAACATCTAAACTGCTGACTGTAGGGGTTTAAAAAATGTAGTTAAGATGTAATTAGCAGCTTTTAAGCTAACAGCATTTATTTAAAAATGTTGGACACAAAGCAATATGCTGCATCACAAGAACAGGTACTTTATCTACCTGTCATTAGCTAATACTACTGTAGACTGGCAAATATCCACTTACCAAAGCACCATAGTTAAAATGATCAACAAAAACAAACACAGCTGGTATAATGGTTAAAATAAAAAGTGACAGTTTAATAAAAATGTAATTTCAAATGGGAAAAATATGTTATTTTGATCAATATTTACCAACTGAACCTTAAAACGTCTTTGTATTTTGCTTCTGGCTGCAAATTATATGACGACATTTCTGATAACAGAAGTAACATTCAACCGTTTAGGACAGTTCTAGCTATAACTTTATATAAATATTCTCATCTCTCTCCCAGCAACAAAGTTAATATTTTTTTTTTTCTCCAAAATGTCAAACTATTACTTCAAGGATCACTTGAGACAACATTAAGTTGACTAGCTTTGATAAACAATGCCTAGCTTATTACTTATAAACATATTACACAAGCCTGACAGGAGATGCTTGTTAAGGAGATCTATCATTCTCAGCCAGACCAGATCTTAGTGTCTTGGAATGAGTTTATAAAATGGCCTTGTCTTAACATAAGTGTAAGGTCTCTATATATGTTTGTATTCAATATCTACATGTATGAATATGTGTGTGTTTGTGAGTGAGTCTATGGTGTCGCCAGGTATGTCTTGGTGAGTATGTAGGTTTGCATGTCCATGTGTGTATACATCATTTATTTTTTGTCTGTACAATATTGTCTTTTTGAGTGTGTTCATTTTTAATTAGTGTCTTTGTGTGTGTGTTGGTGCATGTGGTGTTGCCTTTTCCTGACATGCTTCTCTTTCATGCCCACCTCTCTAGTGTTGAGTGTTGGCGAGGGCGGGTACTGGGAGGGGACGGTCAGGGGGCGCACAGGCTGGTTCCCCTCTGACTGTGTGGAGGAAGTGATGCTTCGAAGCCAAGACAACCGATCAGGTGATCACTAGTAGTCACACACACTCACATACACAGGCTCATCATAACACATAGCATAATTTCAATGAATAAAAAAAAAACATTAGCCACAAATTTCATATTTAACCTCATATAAACTTTAATTTAGCCTTTCACAAAGGCCTGACAATGGTTAGACATGCTAGTTTTGATGAGACAATGTATATTGGAGAGGTGCAGGGAAGGCGGATTTAGTCAGTTACCACCAGCTAGCTATGTTACCCATGTTTCTATTGTTTATGCTAAGCTAACTGATGGCTGGTTTTAGCTTCATGTATACTCTCTCTAACTAAGGTGAAAAGGGCAAATAAAAAAATAATCAAAATGCCTTTCACAACTTAACTTGGTTGTTTTTGTTGATCTGACAAACAGTCGATCAAATAAAGCTGTTCATTTTAAAATGGCATACCGCACATGGAATATATTCAACATAATCCTCGTTAGGTTAAAGTCGCAGATCTAGTTTAAGTTGATTTGAATCAGAAGACCACATTTCTTGTAACGGTGAAAAACTATCTGTTAAAAAGAGAGATTCTCCTGTGATGGCAGTAATAGTAATAGTAATACAGTAACTGAAAAGTACCTGCTGCATAATGAATCCTTCAAATGGACTTAATGCAGGACGATCATGTGATTTTCTGTTTAGAGAGTCGTGGAGAGCGGGCCAAAAGGCTGTTCCGTCATTACACGGTGGGATCCTATGACAGCTTTGATGCTCCCAGGTAAGAGTTACCTTGCCGCCAGCCATCACTGATGTACAGCAAACTGAATGAGTGCCAGTTTTTTCCAAAGCAGAAGCAACCTGCACATTATTCTCTAAGCGAAGGGGCAAAGATGATTAAGGGTGTTGCTTAAGCTCACAGGGTTAGGGGTAAGGGTTCATCCAGTGTAAGTTCCCACAGAGTGGTACTTCACCTAACAGAAGGGTATGTGAGCTGGACACAATTTGGACCAATAGGGCTGAGCAAAAAGGCTTTTGGATGCTTCGATGCCTATTGAGTGTGATATGAGGACCAGAACGAAGCATGAAAGGGTCAGATTATGACTCTGACGTATTCTAGTTAAATAAAGGTTAAGAAAAGAGCAGCTTGACATTCAGATTATTGCAATGTTTGCTTCCATTGTCCACAGAACAGTACTGAGCCAAGAAGGGGTTCAGCTCTTTGCTTAAGTGCATGATGTAACTTGTCCATCCGCCCATTGGGTGATGCTAGTCAAACTGACATCCTTTCATTATGACACAGCTGCTGCAATGTTTGACACACAGCACATGTTGAGACAGGGAGTTGTTGTTACAGTAACTGGGCTGATTTCTTCGTATTGGGTTTTAAGAGTAACTTTCCTTTTAGTTTGTCTGCCTTTTGGCTCAGGGTGCTATGCATGCAGTGTTGCCAGGCTGCAGTTTTTATGTGGTCTGAACCTTTTAGCAATGATGAAGGTGGTTTCAGACCACTATGATGACTAAGTCTGAAATATAAGTGTTGACCGATGTTATACAATCACCCAGTCATCATTACTGCCCTACTATCTGAACTGATGCATTGTACTGTAATACTGTGCCATGGTACAAACCATAAAAGTACTTCAAACGCAGCTGAGATCTTTACTTTAAAAAAAAAAAAAGGTCATTATGCTTCTTGTGCTGAAACACACACACCATTCACCTGCAAATGGATTGTATACACAAATGTACATGTACACAGCACAGTGAAATTAAGTCTCTGCATTTAACCCATCCTAGTATTATTACACTATACCTGTAGTGGCACCAGCCCTGCTGAAGGGTAGCGGGAGCAAACTCTCAAGGTCCACACTCAAGGTCCACTCTCTTGGTCCGTTCTGGGACTTGAACCGGTGACTCTCCACTTCTCAAGCCAAGTCCCTACATACTAAGCTACTTCCGGATCAACTTCATCAGTTTTCATCAGAAAACCGCTTCCTATTTAGCTTTTTGATCATGGAGTCAGAACTGAAACCTCTCTGGATCTTCTGTGGAGTTGGTCTGTTGTCACATGAGCCTGAGTCCTGTATTGACTATGCGAGTGTGATTTCTCCTCATTAACTCGCCCCAATATAATGTCATTCCCTTTAATGCCTTCCATCTGCATCATGGCGAGCGCCTTGTCGCTTTGAGGCAAACTCATTCCAGTGTCCATGACTTGGACTGAAGAGAGAGAGAATTATTTACATAGAAATAAATCCATTATCAATCACATCAATTATTTAAACGACATCCCGCCTTCACCCTCCCTCTTTCTCTCTTTTTCATTCATCATCATTCTTTATTATTCCTCAACTTCCTCTTTCATGCCTGCTTTATTTGCTTCTCATGTTTTGCCTCTGTTACTGTGTTTTTCTCTTTCACATGCACACAGTATCATTTATTATCAACACGCTTTTCATCAACAGTGACATTTAACGCACTTACCCAGGCAAACTTACACACATATGTTTGTGCACACTTGCAAACACACACATCATGGATAATGAAAGCTGTGTACTGCTGCATAGACTGTGCAGAAACTATTTGTTTGGCCAGGCAGGCAGGCATGGCTGACTCAGAACCGCCTACTTTGTAATATCTCATCTATCCTTTCTTTAATTCGTCTTTATTTGGCCACCTCTCCCGACCATCTCTGCATCCCTCCCATGCTTTCTATTTATCACTGTATATCTAACCCCCTGTACTTTTTAATTTTCATTTCATCACTCCCTCTCCCCTGTGGTGTCTCCATCTGGAGGTCAGACGGTGAAGGGCACTCTCAAGGGAAAGGAGGGTTGGAGAGGGATGAAGAGGTTGGATGAAGGAAGAAGGGCATTTTAGGTTTACAATTGGGTGAAAAGAGACAAATGCATTGTTTTTTGAGAAAGCAACATGGGGCAAAAGCGGCTTGAAAGAAAGTCTAAAGAAGAATGCCCTCTGCCGTGTTTGTTCTTTTTTCACTCAAACTATAAAGAACAAACCACGACCAATATGGACTTTAAAGGGTGGCAATTATTAAAGTATGCGACTTAGGTTTGTAATGTCAGTTTGGTCCATCACTTTGGCCGTGTCGGATAAAACGGATGGATTGCTACTGCCAGGTTTTAAACAGACATTTATGGTTCGTAGACAATCCTAAAATAACATAGTATTGCCTTCGGTCTGAAGCTAGTTATTGTTCTAATACTCATTAATAAAGAGAGTCTTATCTGCCAATCTCTAATCATAACCTCCTTTCACGCCCAAGCCTTGTTATTTGTTAACAAATCTGTGTGGTTCTGTAAACATTTGGCTGTACACAGATTCTTCTACCTTTGATGTTTTAGCAGCATCTGCTGGCATACAAAAGACTTGTAACACTGCTGTTCATTACAAAAGAGTTGAAAGCTCTGAGCTGATGGTTCAGATCTCTGTCATTGCCGCAGTTGCACGGATCAAACTGTACACAATCTTTCCATGCAGCTGCTCCTTCCCCAGCCCGCAGGAGACCAGTACTCTGCTAACAGCGGGTCGAATAAGGACGAGTGAGCACACACAGTTAGGAGCAGGAGGCAGAACACCCTGATGTACACTGCTGTGGTGGTGGTGGTGTGTGTGCCTTGTTAGATATATGCATTGCTTCTTGTGCAATATAAAGTTGTTCACTACCATGTATGACTTCACCTTGACTTTTTGGCTAAAATAACGGGATGATCAGGTTTTGCTGTTGTATGATGTACACACACATTCATACACACATACAGGACCACCCAGGCAGACATGCAGCTACAATCATGTGGACCTTCTGTTAACATTTTGTTGGTACTCCTGTTCCCTCCCCATCTCTCTCCTCCTCCCTCTCCCTCTAATTCACCCTATCGCTGTCACTCTTGCTCTCTCTTGACCCTCTCTCTCTTTCTCCTTCTTTGATGCCCTCTCTTTATCGCTCTCTCTCTCTCCCCCCCATCACCCATGCATGCACACATAAACACACAAACACACACACTCTACACAGAATCACAGCGGTATAGCCCGACATGCAGGGAGAGAAACAAAAAGGCAGAGATGTGAGCAGAGAGGGAACAAGGGGCTGTGATCGTCCTCGAATGCAGGAGGGAGGCAAAGGAGAGAGCAGGAGTCGTAGTGAGGATATGAAGGAGGGAGGGAGGGCAAGTAGACCAAGGACAGCTTCAACATACGTGGAACGAGGCTCTGAGAGATGATGTGAGTGCCTATTCCAGAAAATTGTACCTCTCTCTATCTCTCCCCCTCTCTCTGCGTCTATCTCTCTCTTTCCTCCTCTTCCTCCTCCTTCTCCTCTTCCTCCTTCCGCCACTTACCCGCCAGCTGTTTCTCTTCTCTTCCTGTCTGCGTCGATGCCTCTCCTCCTCCCCCTCTCTTTTCCTTGCTGTAGCCCCTCATTCATGCTTTGCTTACATCAAATGTGAGGGTAGTGTGTGCTTGTGTGTGCATGTGTGTGTGAGTGCATGTTAGAGGTTGGTGGGTGAGGTAAGTTAAGTGTGTTTTAAAGGCACGTGCGGTCGGCTACAGTAGAGGGAGGACAGCAGCAGAGGCTCCAGAAAGATCTGCACAAGATGTGTAATGTTACATAGCAAAGGTCTGACTTGTCCTGTATCAGTATGTCACGTGACGAGGGTGAGGATACCTGTGCAGCCTCTACAACTTCAAGACCCTCCTATCAAACCTTTTGAATATGTTGTATCAGATGGGACTGTATTCCAAAAATCTTATCTCAGTCACATCCGTTTTTATGAATGGGAAATCATGACAGGGAAACATGGGAAGAGAGAATACTATACATGTAAAGGAAGTGGAGGGGTTAAAAGAACAGATGAAAGTAAGGGAGAGGATGGACACAGAGGAAGTGTACGTGCTGTTTGTGGTAGTGTATGAGATGATTGGATGTTTGGACTGTGTGTGTGTGTGTGTGTGTGTGTGTGTGTGTGTGTGTGTGTGTGTGTGTGTGTGTGTGTGTGTGTGTGTGTGTGTGTGTGTGTGTGTGTGTGTGTGTGTGTGTGTGTGTGTTGGGCATCAAACCCCCCCTGCGTACAAACCCAAACACCTCTCACTCTCTCTAAATTACCTAATTTCTCTCTCTCCTTTTTCCTAAGCCACCTTATTCCCCCTCCCTTTCCCCCTGCTCCTCTCTCCCTCTTGCTCTCTCTGTGTCGCAGTCACAATGAACCATCTCCATCTCCCTCTCTCTCCCATTCCTCCTCTCTCTCTGTCTTAAGTATGAAGAGGTTGGAAGAGCTCGGCCCTCTCCCTTTCCCTTCTTCCATCTCTCTCTCCTCCTCTTCCTCCTGTCCTCCTCCTCTCTCGCGGCTCGTGCTCGCTGCTGTCTCACTGGAAGACGAGAAGGAGCAGGAGAAGGAGGAGGAGGAGAGGGAGGGGAGGCAATGGCGATGGGGGCATGCGGCGAGGAGGATCTCTCCCTCTCCCTCTCCCTCTCTTCTTCCTGGCCGTCACTCGGCCCTGTGAATAGGAGCGTCTGGTTCATTTACAGGTACCTGCCATGGCTTTTTATACCCCCCTACCCTCCACTCGCTCTCTCCCTCTCTCCCTCCAGTTGTCTCTGGAGATGGGGGGCGGAGAGAGGGATGCGTGCATGTGTACATCATGGATGGCAGGGCAGGATATATTAGAGAGATTGACAGATGTTGCAGTGCATGCTTGCAGACAATGAAGATGTTATATACAGTGTGCCTTAATCTGAGTGTGTGTGTGTGTGTGTGTGTGTGTGTGTGTGTGTGTGTGTGTGTGTGTGTGTGTGTGTGTGTGTGTGTGTGTGTGTGTGTGTGTGTGTGTGTGTGTGTGTGTGTGTGTGTGTGTGTGTGTGTGTGTGTGTGAGTATGTGTGTGTGATGCATGTGTAAAGACGGACTGCTGCTGCTGCACAGCCCGGTATTGAGCAGTGCAGCCGCTCTATGTTTTGCTGTATGAACATTTGTGTGTGCCGTTTTTCTCTCTCTCTCTCTGCTTTAAATTGCTCTCTGAAAAACGTCCTCTAGCAATGCTGCACAAGTGATGCTTGCTGTTTTTACAGATGTTCAGATTGATTGTGTGTTTGAGTGGCTGCATGCATATGTTTGTGTGTGTGTGTGTGTGTGTGTGTGTGTGTGCCTGGATGGTGTTTGCTGTTGTCCATCAAAAATGATGAGGAATGGGAGGGATTTCTCCTTTTCTATGTTGGACAGTTAATTACATGTGTTCTTGTGTAATATGTGGTGTGTGTATGTTTACCAGAATGTGTGTGTCTGTGTGTGTGTGTGTGTGTGTGTGTGAGACAGAAAGAGAGAGAGGGAGCGAGACTGCCGACAAATTGGAAACAGCTCATGGTGAGAGAGTTTTAAAGATGCAGCATGCATGACAAGTTCCAGCTCCTTTCTGACACCTCTACGGAAGCCTGCGTGGCCAAATCTGTTTAATATCTCGGCTTGATCTCTTTACTGTGCTGGTTTGTCCAGCTCAGATACTGACACAACTTTAGGTTAATAAGGAGGATGCAACGCTGAGTGGCATTTTCCCTGGATACCAGTTTAGTGGCTGCAGGATCCTAGCGAAGAGCAAAAGCAATGGTGCGTTCAGGTGTCACCCTGTAAAGACAGTTTCAAAGTTTGGCAGATTTCTGTCAAACACCCAACAAAGTGTCAAAACAAAGTTATTAACTGGGATAAGTTGAAATATACCCACATTTACATGACATGTTACCTAGCAGATATGTAGATTTAAGGTCTGTTTTCGTAATAACCTGTTTGTGCAACATGATCAGGCAGGCTACTAACAAAAAAAACACAGTTTGATGATGATTAACACCCAACAGTGTTAAAATGTGACCTGCTCATGTAATACTTCCTAACTTTTTAAGTTGAAAAGGAAAGCCTCAACACTCTCTGATACCGTTGACCAGCACACAGTACACTTTGAGGCAATGGGGGCTTCTAAGGATTCACTGGTGCAGTATTTTGCACATGCAGGCTTTATTTCTCAGCCGAACTTGGAGGAACATTCAGTCCGGAAATGATTTGGACTTCGGTTGATCGAGCCACTGAACTGGAACAGTTGATGATATCTTTGAAGACAGCAAAGCCTGAGTTGGTCGGATGGGTTTCTAGGGATGAGTGCTATGTATTAGCCCTGAGCGGTCACACATACACCAAACAGGGTGAATAAAGGATACAGAATACAACATAAACATGACAGATATGATCAGGCTCATTTTCTTGAACACGTTAGAAAGAAACTCGCAGTTGCAATAATTATTTGTTCACATTGCGAAAGACTTGGCAGACTTGTGAGTGTAACTTTGGCCCTATTCAGAATGGGAATAGACATGTGTCTCTTGTGATTCAATCACAAGTGGACAGCTCTAAGAACAGGTGTGAATACTCTCAAGGCGCTTTGAGGTCAAATTGAGATCTGATCGCTCAAACCGGAGCAGAGCTGAAATTAGATTTGAGGAGATAATGGTAACTCAAGACTCACATGTCAATGAGTTCTGCAGCCAGGTTTAAACGGACCAAATGTGATCGGATCACTAAACATATGTGTGTGTCACTGTAATAGCAGATCCGACCAGGTATTTAATTCTCTCTGAATGCTGGTTTCACAAAGTATATTTCATCAGGAATATTTTGCATTTTCTGCCTTTTTTTTAATGAGTCAAGATTTTAGAGTTTATCATCAGCCCCAGTGATCAATGTAATATTTCTTTAAGTTTTAAGTTTTGTGTGTGTCTTAAGTTTTGAGGCATTCAATCATGTTGTCTAGCGTTTGCATAAAACTAGGAAACTATGTATCCATTGTATTATTTACTACCGAGACTAAGCACTGTCAGTAGTGAAACAAGTGCAAACATGATCTGCTGTTAACTGTAAAGTCTCCTGAACTGATATGTCTGTTGTCTGCACACATGCTTTATTTCCATTGAGCGACTTGTTGCTTGTGTTCCCTGCAGAGACAGATGAACAGCTACAGAAAAATGTGTGTGTATATATTTCATCAACATTACTTTGCATCTACTGCCCAATTGTAATTTCCTCTCACTCAGACCTACCTTAAGATTTGTGTGAATGCGTGTGTGCACACAGTAATGTGTTTGTTTGGTGCCTCAGTGTGTTAGAAATCTGGGCTGGGCAACAGAGATGGACAGAAGAAGACAAGAATAACAAAGAGACAGAGCCTTGGCAGAGACAGAGAGGCTCACACAGCCTGTGGAGAGCATCACACACTCAATAGACTGACTTTAAAAGATCATAAGGGGGAAATGTGATTAGAAAGAAATTAGCAGAAGATTAAAGAACAAAGGAAGGAAGTCAATATAAAGGGAAGTATAAGGATGGAGAAATGTAAAAAGGAGAAAAGCCAGTCATGAGAAAAGGAGAGAGGGATGAACAGATGGAGTGGGCTGGGACTATTTGGTGCCAGTGGGATTATCAGCATGTGGTTACAGTATGTTACAGCTGACACGGTATATATACCCCTCTGACTCACTGACTGACTGAATGTTTCTTTCCATTCATAAGAAGACAAGAGTCCGGAGAGGTCAGCAGCCCTGAGAGGCGGTGCTGTTTCTCACACAGAAGTTACTTAAAGGGGACCTATCATGCAAAATGCACTTTGTGATGTCTTTTATACATAAATATGTGTCCCCGGTGTGTCAGGGAACTCACGCAGCGTCAGAAAAATAAAACCCTCTCTCTTTTCCTCCGTACCCAAATCTTTTAAAAACGGGTGTACAACGAGCGGATACAGATTTGCTGCCGATATGACATCAAATCGGCGGCGGACCCACAGAAAGTTGCTATCATAAACAATGCCTGACGTGTTTTGGACGTAATCTCGTCTTTGTTTACACTAGCAAGCCTCGCTAACACTCAGAGCTAACCTGTACTGGAGAGCATATGTGTTTAAAAAGCAGGAAATAAAAAAAGAACTCACCCTGTGGCAAACCTGCAAGAGAAAAAGCATTTGAACTCCATACTGTTTCAGAAATAAACGTGGTTTAAACAGGATGGCGTTTTATCACAGCAGAATTTAACTTTATCTCCGGTAGAATTCTGACCAGGCATTAGCTCCGCCTCCTCTTCTTTCTTTTTTCCCCAAGCTAGGGACCCAAGATCCACGTTTCTCTAACAGGGCTTCAAAAGAGGGGTTTGAGCAGTATGAGGGATGGCTACAATGGGTGATCTGTTTGGTATTTTGAAAAAAAAACTTGTCATGTTTTGTATAGGTATGGCCCTACAATATATGTTTCAAATATAGCATGATAGGTCCACTTTAAACCACAGCATTGATGTGTGTGACATGTCTCACCTCTATTACTAGTAGGACAAGAAAAGCATCTTGTAATGGGCAACACAACTCAGGAACAAATATTTTAATGACACTTTTAACACCCTAAGGATTTAATGGTATCCTACATTTTTCTTTAAGTAACATACAGTAAGTTTATCAAAATTTGTGATTTTAACTGCAAACTGCATCCTAGATTTCCTTTACTTACAATGTGAAAATACTCCATTACATGTTTACGTTCTGTATTCAAATCCAACTTATGAAGAAAGCATTATCATCTCAATGTACTCAAAGTTTTAAAAGTAAAGGAACCCCTCACCAATGTGTTATAGAGGACATTATAAGAAAAGTTGTATTACTGAAGCATTAAAGTGTAGGTTGTTGCTGGCTAAGGTGGAGCTAGTTTGACTAGTTTTACCTCTTGTATACAGAGTTGGGTAGTTTAACCAGGGGTCAGCCTACTCTAAAGGGCAACAAGCTATATCTATGGGGTTGTAGATGTACTTAAGTTTGTAGCAAAGAGTTCTGCTCGAAAATGTATATTCATTTCGGATTTCCTCTAATCTCATCTTTTTGATGCCTACATGCCTTTTACTAGGAAAGGACCGCAAAGTATTCTCCTCTCCACACTCTAAGAGAAAAATAAATGAGAACAGGAGGCTACAATGTAATTTCAACATAGTTAACTGAACAAAAAGCAACAAATAAATCCTGAACAGGAATATAATACAAAAGTAAACATTTAGACGAGTACGTTTACTCTTGTAAATACATAAACACAGTGGTTCCAGTTGTAACCCAATACACTGCGGAAATATGTTTTTGCTTATACTGGTGGTGATGTCATCAGAAGGGGGAAAAAGAAGTTGGAAGCAGACAGCTGAGGATGGGTGTAGCTGGCGACGGGGGGAAGTAACACCAGCGAGATAAATGTTGTTATTTATTGATTTAAAACTTCCCTTTACACCCATTAATCCCATTGATTAAATGATTAATAAAGACATGCAAGGATGTACAATGCGTGTCCTTCTAGTTGCCTGTCTTTCTTTTCAGTCTTGTGTCATCTCTTATTCTCTTTCTCTCTGTTTTCTGTGCCATCTCTGCTAGTGACTACATAATAAAGGAGAAGACAGTGCTTCTACAGAAAAAGGACAGCGAGGGTTTCGGCTTTGTGCTAAGAGGAGCCAAAGGTAAGTAATGTTAAAGAAACATTTTGCCTTGCAATCTCATTTGTTGGTTGTGTCCTTATCATATAGCTATATAGGTAGTAGCTCAGTCTCTACTCTAGTCTAGTCTGTTGGCTCTGGAACCGATGGTTGCCGGTTAAAGTCCCGGAGCAGACAGGTACTCTGAAACGCTGCTCCCTAGCTGCTGGCCGTATATACTTGATTCCCATTGCTTTTATAGGATGGGTTAAATGTATTAGCAATTTATAAAATAATTTAACATTTGTATCACATGCTAATGGATTCTTGTATTTGTATTGCGCCTCCAGCTCAGACTCCTATCGAGGAGTTCACCCCCACCCCGGCTTTCCCTGCTCTGCAGTACCTGGAGTCTGTGGACGAGGGAGGGGTCGCCTGGAGAGCCGGGCTCAGGATGGGGGATTTCCTGATAGAGGTGATACTACGATTCACTACTGCATTATGGGTTGTAATTATAAGCACAATTTAGAGGTGAAATATATTGTGTTTATCTGCCCCATGATTCAGATCTGCTCCAAATTTTTAAGTTGGCCAATGTGACACCATTCCACCAATTTTGATGAAATTCAAATAGTTTTTTCCCGTAATCCTGCCGACAACCAGACAAAAAAGCTAACAAACACACTCAAACAAAACCTTAGGGGGAAGTAAAAAGTTAGGAAAGGTTCACAGTCCTCTCCAGTGAAGGAAATGTTTAATTTTCTGTAAACTTTTTATTTTTATAAAATATTTTAATTCACGATTGATCTGCAACAAAAACAAATATTTAGTTCAGTTCCTTTTAACTGATGGGGATGCGGCTGGTGGGCGTGTTATTAAACTCAATTGCTTCTCTGTCCTTCTTTGTCTCTACATGTTTCTCCCAGGTCAATGGTCAGAATGTGGTGAAGGTCGGTCACCGACAGGTCGTCAACATGATCCGGCAGGGGGGAAACAGCCTTATGGTGAAAGTTGTCATGGTAACCCGCAACCCCGACATGGAGGAGGGTTCGAGGAAGAAAAGTAGGAGTCTATCTTCTGCAACCTGGGGTTCTGCGGTAAATGAATGATAGCGATAGATGAACCTAGTTGTTGACTGACCCCTGCTGCCTGTGTCTGTCCCCCCCCTCTGCAGTCCCCCAGCAGAGCAAGAGGCTGAGCACCCCCGCTATCGCCCTACGATCCAAATCCATGACTTCAGAACTGGAGGAGATGGGTAAGAAATTGGCTTACATAAACTTTTGGATGGGTGGAAATCGACAATAAATGAAACAACAGACAGACAGGGACATTCAAAAAACATATGAAGAACACATTAAAGCTGAATAGGGGGAGATGAATAGATTGAAGTGATAAAGGATAATATAGACAGTGTGAGATCTGAGTGTTGGGGTTGTTTAAGATGCTGAAAGTGTGAAGGGGAGGGAGCTAGGTCTACATTTTTAGACAGCAAGAAAGTAAAGTTACTCAGGGACAGATAGGAGGGGGACAGGAAAAAGTGGCTCCGCCGTGGATGAAGGTCTCAATGCATTTCACTGTTCTTTCAGAGGTTCCACACTGTCACTTCCAGCACACCCACTACAGGTAACCCCTCCCTGAAAAAGTGTCGCTAACCACCCTGTGATCCCTCTCTCACTGCCCGCCTCTCTTACCCCCCTGCACCCCCCACTCCTCCCTGGCCCGCCCACAGCTTTAACCCCAGCGCCCACAGAGCAGTCTACTACTTTGTCTGCTCTACACACACAGACACTCAGCAAGTATTTGTCGTCAAGGTAACACTGCAGGGGAATGGGCGTCACCTGAGAAGAGTTTTTCCAGATGCTGAAAACATCATGGCTAAGTGTCTTGTCTCCATGTCTTAGTGAGCAAGTTGCAACATATCAAGTGTAATATTTAGTTGAGAACGTCTCTGATTAATTTAAAATAAATCTTGCCCAGGATAAAATTATTGAGATGAGTAATTTAGCAAAAAAGCAACTTTGTTCCAGGTCTGTTGCTATGGTAACATCATTATGTGTGGCTATGCTTATGCCATCTCTATTTGAGGCAAAATAGTGGGAGGAGAGTGCATGGTGAGGGTCAACACCCCCATTTGCAGATCTGAAATTGGCCAGTGTTTTATTGGTGATTGGGTTATCTTTGCTGAACATTTATGGTGCTGTAAGTGTCGCTGCTGGCTGGTTCTGAGCATGCCCAGTGAGTAATTGATGATGTAGGAGTGCTGATAACATGTGGAGCTTCTGGAGGGGAGGGGAATCTGCAGGGCTACATCAGCTGGTTTCAGATCTGGTTTCAGTACTTTAGCCTATAAACAATGACTAAACTTGCCTGGTACACAACAGCAACTACCAACTGAGTCCGGTCCTGATGCTGTAAGTCAGGATCAGTCTAGATAAATAAGCCCTTTGCTTTTTTCCTCCCCAATTTCCTCATCTCACCTGCCTCCTCTCTGTGGTGTGACCTCACTTGAGCAACAAAAAGCATGAGCACCCAGTCTGAACACAGGTGCCAGTTTCCTCTACCCCAAACCCATCTTTCCTTCACTGCTCACTATACACTTTATTTCCCATTAGCACTGTGTATGCAGTGAAACTAGACTAGAGAGTATCACTTAAACAAACATTACACAGTTGCTTCATTGCTTTTTGGCAAAACAAAAACATGAAGTTGTTCTCCTTCCACCACATATAAGGCACATTCTTTTTTTAAGAGGATGTGGTTATTATTATTTTTTAAAAAGCAGTAACCATGTTGCTGTTTTCTAACTGTGCACAATAGCCTCATCATCACCACCACCACCACCACCACCACCACCATCATCATCATCATCATCATCATCATCATCATCATCATCATCATCATCATCATCATCATCATCATCATCATCATCATCATCATCATCATCATCATCATCATCATCATCATCATCATCATCATCATCATCATCATCATCATCATCATACCAAGGTACAGTATTGGAATAATTTAAAGTGATAAAGAGATTTAATAGTGCCACGGTACAAGAGCTAAGTCAGTCAGGTACAGCTTATTGCAGATTTATTGTACAGTGTATATTTTGGCCAATACGTAAACAAAACTGAAAATGTCCAACTTAATATGTATCTTGGTCAACATTCTTTAAAAAACTGAAATCTCAAAGGGATCTTTTTCATTTTTGGATATATTATTTGTGTGTTATTATGTTAAACTAAAGTTTATTTTAGCCAAACTAGAGCCAATCTTACTCTTATTTCTTCACAAATATCCATATTGGCGCCAAAAATGTCAGTATTTGTCGGGCTATGCATGGGAAATAAGGCTTTTAAATAAAATGGTTAGTTTGAATCAATAAAGGTTCATTCATAAATAAATACTCCAGTTTCCTTGTCATGTGGCTAGTGTATTTGCACACTTTATAATACACACCTTATAATAACTTGGGCCCTGTTTGCTTATGCCTCCTTCTGAATCAAGGTGAGAGGGGCACAGTGTGTGATGAAGCCATGTCAGCCCCCACCATATGCTCATTCTAATGCATTAGAATTCATTTAGCTGTGACACCTATTAAGCTATCTCACCTCTGTGATTGGTGCAGTGTCCCAGTTCACTCAGAAGGAGTAAAACAAGGACATTGAAATGGAAATGATCATGCAGTGCATTTCAGTCCAAATAAATGTTGTTTTCCTGACACTAATTTCACCCAAATGTTGTTTACATTTGTACGGACAAAATATGGCTTAATTTTGAAAGGATTTGTGTTGTAAGTAACAGATCAAATCAGGACACATTCAAATTCCTTTCATGCTTGGTTTAACCATCGGACATTACGTTTAATTTATGTTTAATCAGGCTCAATAAACTACACATTATGAAATATAACCGCCTCAGTATGAGTATTATGAATAACCCTATTTCTATTCAGTCCGCACACACAAGCTCACTCTCACCAGCGGATGCAAACACCAAAGGGTCACCTTTAATTCCTCCTCTCTACTCCCCTGTAGACTTATCCCTTTACTGTTCACTGGTTTAACCACTTACTCTGTCTTTCCTCTTTCTCCTTTGTCCCCACTTCACTGCTGCCGGGATCTCAATCATTTAACAGTAGAGAGAGGTGGGAGTCAGTTCAGACTAATTCCACATTTATATTTGTGTTTTCAAGTGTGTAAGAGAGAGTAACAGCAAGAAGCATACTGTATGCGTGTGCAGCATGTTTACTGTAACATAAGTGTGCATGCTTCAGCTGTCTTAAAGTGTGGGTGTTATGTACGTTCTTTTACATCGAAGATGGAAAAGCCTGGCGAGGGGACTCACTTTGTCAGGCTCCAGGAGATATGATTAGTATTCCCTGTATACAACGCTATCGCACTTTCACTCCTGCCAAAACTTAAGTCTCCTTTTGTCCTCCTTCCAGCTGCTACCCCTTGGAAAAAAAAATCAGGTATGCTCTGGTATACACTTGCTTAAAGGTCCCATGACATGGCCATTTCTACTGATCATAATTCCATTGTTGAGGTCTACTAGAATAGATTTACATTGTTTAATTTTCCAAACTCACATTGGTTTTCTCTCTGTATAGTATGTGTATTCACTCTCTGTCCTAAACGCCTTGTTGGAGCTCCTGCCCGCCCCCCCCCCCTCCCTGTGAGCCCAGTGTGCTCTGATTGGTCAGCCCGCCCACTGGCTCGCTGCTGCGAGGAGCTGACAGTGTGAGCTGGCTTACTGGTGTGGTTTCCTGCTTGCTGCGAGACAGCGAGACATCGCCGCTAAAAGAGTGTGTGTGTGTGAGGAGCTCCACGGATTGGTCCATTTGGGCACGTCACCATACCCAGGAAGAAAACAATGGAAAAATAAAAATCTCCAACGAGGCGTTTTGGGGCAGCATAGACCTTATATCTTTGTTAGAGTTTTACTCGCTACAGGGTTTGTGAGTTTGCAGACCGTTTACATGCATAAAAAGCTACAGAACACACAAGGGGACGGGTAATAACCGGAAAAGCATGACATAGGACCTTTAAGGCATTGTATTTATGTCTTTCCAAAATTAGTTGGCACTCACCGCTCAGTCTCTTATTGGCCTTATTCTGAGTTTCTTTCCTTTTAGAATTTGAATCCTCCCAAGTCACAGAGAAGAAGAGGACAGTCTATCAGATGGCTTTGAGTAAGGGAGATTGTGTTTGTCAGATGTTTTCTCGTCCACTTTCATCCAGTTGGTCCCTTTCCACACAATGTTTCCTTCACTTTTGATGTTCATTTTTCTGTTTCATTGTTGTATGCCCCTCTCTCTCTCTCTCTCTCTCTCTCTCTCTCTCTCTCTCTCTCTCTCTCTCTCTCTCTCTCTCTCTCTCTCTCTCTCTCTCTCTCTGTCTTATTATCTCAGATAAACTAGATGAAATTCTTGCAGCAGCTCAGCAGACCATCAGCACCAATGAAGCACCAGGGACACGGGGACAGGGGCCAAAAAGAGACAGAGGACGAAGTGTCTATGGCAATGAGGTGTGTTTAGAAAAATCTATTATAGTTTAATTTCTATTTTCCTGAAATACGGGTTCCTGTGTTCACTGTGTCTGTCATCAGGTTGTGAACAAGTTGAGTTGTAGTATGAGACAGCCGGAAACAACTCAATGAAAAGCAAACAACCAGTAAAACAGGGATGCTGCACCGGGCACAACTTCAACTTAAATTATCCTGTCACTGCTTCATCAAAGAGTCTGAACAATTAAAGATCCCCTTGATTATATTATATTCTATTTCTATGTAAATAATGCTATATTTTGCTATATTTTGTATTACTTTTTAATATATTTTTTACGTTATTATAGTTTTCTTAAAATAGTTCTCTATATGCGTTTTTAATTTTTGTTTTACTTTTATGTATGCACCATGATATCAAGTCAAATTCCTCGTACGTGTCAACCTACCTGGTAATAAACCTGTTTCTGATTCTGATTCTGATTAAGTTCCAGAGATTTACATATACTGTATCTATCTCCTGGCTAGTAATGAACAATGAAACATAAACTGCGTGCTAATAGAACCATCCTTCGGGCAGCTGAGCGGAAATGGTGGAAATCCAAACACCCTGACAACCTCCTACTCTATCAATCTCTCCTCTCCGCTTTTTCATCTTCGATCTCTCAGGCAAAAAGCACTTTCTTTCAAGATAAGATCCAATCTTCCTATTCCAATGCCAAAAAACTATTTTCTAGCTTCTCCACCCTCCTCGACCCCCCCAAAGCCCCTTCCCCCTCCTCCCTTCTTCCAAGCGACTTTGTTAACTACTTTGAAAAAAAGGTTGATGATATTCGCTCTTCTTTTTCCGACTCACCATTGCCATCCAATCAAATCACATCAACATCAGTTTTAATACTGTAACTGTCATCACCGCCGTCAGAAATTATCAAGCAAATGAAGCATTATGGAGGGTGGAGATTTGGCGTACTTAATCAAACATAACTTTACTAAACTTCTGCTACAGCAGCAACTGAAAATTAAATCAGATGACAGGCCAATGCCCGCACTCGAGCTGTGTGTACACAGAGGAAAAGGGAGAGAATCGGACGTTCAATGAGGACAATTATGTCCGCACGGAGTGGCTAACTGGAAGCGCTAAACTTCAGCGTCTATTTTGCTGGCCATGTCTTCTTTTTGACAAGGATTCGTGCTCCCTGAACAATCCTTGGGCAACTTCAGGATTCATCGACCTTGCCAACCTGTCACGGGCAATTGAGAGGCACGGTAAATCCAAAAATCACATAGATTGTGTTATTGTCTGCATACATTAATAAGTAAAATGCTTAAATTAATAAGGAGAGTTTCAGCTGGAGAGTTACACACCACTGGGTCACCACCGTTCACCCACACACTAACCTCCTTTTCCCCTCTCTCTCCAAGTGAGGTTCTTACCCTCATTACCTCCCATTCCTGTCTAAAACACTTGAACATGCTGTCTTTAAACAACTCTCATGTTATCTCCATCAGAACAACCTTCTGGATCCGAGTCCGACCCTTGTCAATTAACTACAGGGGTCACTCAGGGCTCTGTCCTTGATCCCCTCCTCTTCTCTCTGTACACAAACTCGCTCGGATCTGTCATTAGCCCGCATCGTTTTTCATACCATTGCTACGCTGACGACACCCAATTAATTTGGTCTTTCCCCCGTTCAGAAACCCAGGTCGTCGCACGCATCTCTGCTTGTCTAGCAGACATCTCTCAGTGGATGTCTGCTCACCACCTCAAGCTCAACCTTGATAAGACTGAACTGCTTTCTCTTCCGGGAAAAGATTGTCCCACTCTTGACCTAACAATCCACATCGGCACCTCTGTTGTTTCCCCGACTCAGACTGCAAGGAATCTGGGTGTGACCCTAGATAACAACCTGCCCTTCACTGCGACAACCCGCTGCTGCAGATACACTGTTTACAACATCAGGAGGATACGTCCCCTCCTAACCCAGAAAGCGACGCAACTTCTGGTCCAGGCTCTCGTCATCTCACGTCTAGACTACTGCCACTCCCTCCTGGCTGGTCTACCTGCATGTGCCATCCGACCTCTGCAGCTCATCCAGAATGTAGCGGCTCGTCTAGTCTTCAACCTTCCTACATTCTCCCACACCACACCGCTCCTCCGCTCCATTCACTGGCTTCCAGTAACTGCTAGAATCCACTTCAAGACACTGGTACTAGCGTACCATGCTGTGAATGGATCTGGCCCTTCCTACCTCCAGGACATGGTTAAACCATACACCCCAGCACATGCACTCAGCTCTGCATCGGCCAAACGGCTCGCTGCACCCGCACTGCGAGGAGGACCCAAGTTCCCATCAGCAAAAACACGTGGGTTTGCTATCCTGGCTCCAAAATGGTGGAATAAGCTCCCCATTGACATCAGAAAGCTTACACATGGTAGTGAGTTGTTACAGACCCCCCTCAGCTGTCAAATACTCCTTGTCTTCACTAGCAAATCTTTTATCACAACTAGACTACAAGGAAATAGTGCTACTTGGAGATTTTAACTGGGACTGGTTAACTGCAGTGTCAGAGGATTTTAAAAACCTTTGTATCTCTTTGAATGTTACTCAGATTGTTGACAGTCCTACTCGCCCAAATATTAAGTCCCCTAATAAATCCTCCCTAATTGATCTCATTTTAACTAATGTTCCCCATAAATATTCATCTGTGGGAGTATTTGCAAATGATCTGAGCGATCACTGTGTTGTAGCCACAATTAGGGACACTAAGGTCCAAAAGGTTAAACCTTGCATTATCATTAAGAGAGACAAAAAACATTTAGTTGAGCAGGGTTTTGTGCATGATCTGTTTGATTTTGATTGGGGTAAAATCGATCTGTGTGCTGATGTGGAAACCGCATGGTCTTATTTTTATCTTGGTTTTATGGAGATCATTGATAGACATGCACCCCTGCGTAAATTTAGAGTAAAGGGACGAGACAATCCTTGGTTTTCTGCTGAGCTGTCTAGTCTCCTTCATGAGAGAAACACGGCCTGGGCAAAGGATAGGCAATCAGGCTCAGAGGTAGAGTGGCTGCGTTTTAGGCAGCTAAGGAATAGCTTCACTTCAAATGTCAAAAGTGCAAAGTCAAAGTACTATTTGTCAGTTACCACAGAAAACCTAAATAATCCTAGGAAATTTTGGAAAGCAATAAAATCGATATCCACCGGTGAGATCCGTAATGAGCTACCTCCGTGCCTTACCACAGCATCTGGCACTATATCGGACAGGGCCACTATGTTAAATTGCTTTAATGAGCATTTTGTGTCCTGCGGTTCTATGTTTGATTCTGTGACTAACTCTGCTTCTGTGAACACCCCAATCCGTGACTCTGAACAATGTGGTCTGGAAAACCCTTTCAGTTTTACTCCTTTTACTGTCAATGTTGTTCATGAAGCCTTATCTAAGCTAGATCCTAAGAAACCAGCTGGCCCGGACAACGTAGAACCTTTATTTTTAAAGATAGCTGCAGATTTTATTGCTCCACCTCTTACTACTCTTTTTAACCTCTCCCTCAGCACAAATGCAATTACAAAAGTATGGAAGTCAGCTTATGTCTTGCCTTTGCTAAAAGGAGGGGAGGCCACCTTATTAAATAACTATAGGCCAATCTCTAAATTGTCAGTTCTGGCGAAGGTGCTCGAACGCCTAGTGAGTGAACAGGTAAAGGAGTTTTTATGTAAAAATGATATCCTGTCTAAACATCAGTCAGGCTTCAGAAAACAACATAGCACCATCACTGCCACAATGAAAGTGGTGAATGACATTACGAGTATTTTAGACGATAAGCAGAGTTGTGCAGCTCTATTTATTGACCTTTCCAAAGCGTTTGATACCGTCGATCATCGCATCTTAAAGCAAAGGCTACTCAGTATCGGCATATCCAGCCATGCAGTGGGTTGGTTTGTGAACTACCTCTCTGAAAGGTCCCAATGTGTTCACTTTGATGGGCTGTCTTCTGAGTGGTTAAACATTGCTAATGGTGTTCCTCAAGGTTCTGTTTTAGGTCCACTTTTATTCTCCATATATATCAACAGTTTAGGTGAAAATGTGGATGAAGCTACTTTACATTTGTATGCTGATGATACCGTGATGTACTGTGCAGGTCCCTCCATTAAGGAGGCTGGTGTTAAATTACAGGCTGTTTTTAACATTATTCAGACTCAGCTTGCTGAGCTTAAGCTTCTTTTAAATGTTGATAAAACCAAGGTAATGCTATTTACAAAAGCTAAAAAGACACCAGAGCCTGTTTTGGATATTGTTACTATGCAAGGACAAGTACTTGAAGTGGTTACCAGTTATAAATACCTAGGTATCTGGCTTGATGATTGTCTTACTTTTAAACTTCATGTCAATAACCTGCTTAAAAAGCTGAGGGTTAGACTAGGTTTCTTTTTCAGAAACAAGTCCTGTTTCTCATTTGAAGCCAGGAAAAGGCTAGTCACTGTGACCTTTTTACCTGTGCTGGACTATGGTGATTTGATCTATATGAATGCACCTGCCCATTGCCTGGAAAGGTTAGATGCCGCCTATCACAGCGCAGAGATTTGTTACTAACTGTAAAGCACTTACTCATCACTGTACCCTGTATGCCAAGGCAGGTCTGCCTTCACTAACTGTACGGAGGCTCAGTCATTGGTACATGTTCATTTACAAAGCCATGTTGGCTAAACTACCTTTTTATATCTGCTCTCTGATCTCTCGACGAATTGAAAGTACATATTGCCTGAGATCTCATGATGTTGTTTTATTAAATGTGCCAAGTGCTAGGACTGTCTTAGGGAAGAAAGCTTTTAGTTGTGCAGCTCCACTAAATTGGAACAGTCTGCAAACATGTTTAAAACTGAGCACTTTGGTTCCCCTGCATCATTTTAAAACTCGGCTGGGTGACATGCTGTTTGATACTCATGGTACCTGTCTCTGTAAATAGAGTTTGTAAACTGTACCCTGTACATTATGTTGTATGTCATCCTTATTGTTGTTCTGTTGTTTTTATGTTACATGTGTAACTAATGTCCTGCAGGTCACCCTTGAAAAAGAGATCTTTTGATCTCAAGGGGCTTTCACCTGGTTAAATAAAGGCTACAAACAAACATCTTCCGGCGCAGACTAAAAACTAATCTCTTTCGACTCCACTTCGAGCGATATAATTATTAACAAAGCACTTATATACTAATAAAGGACTGGCTTATCTAAAGCCAGTTGAGTAGCACTTGAAATGTTTTGGCTCTATGAAACCTGATTCTTCAAGTTTGTATCTTCTTGGTCGAATGCACTTATTGTAAGTCGCTTTGGATAAAAGCGTCAGCTAAATGCAATGTAATAAACCAGTTTAAGGACAACACAAGACATTTTTCACATTTGTGTCGAGCAGAATATGTAGTCCGAACACACATGGCAACGTCTTAAGTTCTGCAGCAACATCCTTACGTTTAAAAAATATGAAAACAATTAAACTACTGTACCAGTTTTTTTTTTTAAATAACAGTTATTGTTGACTATTTTAAACCTGCATAAACGTGCATAATTATTTTTGACATTACAACAAACCAGCCAAGCAAAGGTGTGACTCATAAAACCAATGATTTTGGTTCTCCGACCCACACATGTATTGCATAATTGAATGTCAAGTTAATCTAATTTTTTTCACATGCTCCTTTTTGGCGTTTCAGCCAAACTACGGGGATCAGTCTGGGATGGGGATGATGTCGTCTGGGTTGGGCCTCGGCTATGACCGTGGCCAGTTCACCTCAGGTCACGGCCCACCGCACGGTATGCTGCGGCAGAAGTCCATCGGTGAGGCTGTCTGTTCTTTCTGTCTGCCCCTCCTTTGGCCTGTCTGTCTGTCCTCTGGAGCAGCAGAGATCAACTCTGCGCCGACCTGTTTGTCTTGTCTGTGCCTAAAAATGTGCACACTTTCTGTCACCCTATCTGTATCTGTAGCTATTGTATGTTATACTTGTACTGTAAAAACAAGTTGTTTGTTTGTGTTAAACTCACCCTACTACTACTTGTTATATAAAGAATGGCCACTAATCTTTATTTTATTCTAATGAATTAATTTCTGGTTTGTTGCTTACTGAGGCTTTGCTATCTCCACTCCTGAAATGGAAATGTGCTCTCTGGTGACCAACAAAACGAATGCTGCTGTGTGATGTTGCCCAGTTGCTTCCTGTTTGTGGAATACATAGCACTAACTGATTTACCTACTAACAGACATGAGATCTGAGGACAGACTTGCTAGCAGTTACACGGGCAGTCAGATTAAGACAGACACTCTCAGATTACCGTTCATTTTCCTTTCTTTTGTTCCATTTCCCCTCTACTCTAATTCACCCCCAAACTTTTCTTCTGTTCTTATTCTCACTTTACACAATTTGTATTATACAGTAGGTTAATGCCTATTTCATCGCCATTTGTTTTCTTTTTTATTAATGCTTTACTGCAGGGGCGGTTGAGGACGAAAGGCAGTTCCTGCATCCTCCAGCCATGAAGTTTGCTCGCAGTCTGTCAGTGCCCGGCCCAGACGAAATCCCCCCTCCTCCCACCACAGCACCACCAGAACCTCCATTCTCCTCTGCTCCGCCACTTGGTTGGAGAGCTAAGTCCTCCCAGCAGCCCTCTGTCTCTGTGTCCCAGTCCACAGCCACCTCTGCACACTACCAGCCCTACTCCCAGCCAGTGCACTTCACCCACGGGGGCAGGGAAAGGGAAGGGGGTCCCAGCACTGGCCCCAGTGGTGGAGCAGTGGACCACACCACCTCATATGCACACGCAGCTGCCCATACTGCTCAAAGCAGGACTGCTTCGAGGAAAGTTGCCTATACTGGAGAGCCTGGTGGAGCTGGGTCAGGGGCTGGTGGAGGGGCTGGAGGAGGGGCCAAGGCAGCAGGTCTTAGAAGAGGCTACAGCACAGCGGTCCCCCCCTCCAGCATTGCCACTGTAATGCCCCAGCAACAGCAGCCTGCCCAGAGCCAATCCCATCGCGCAGAGCGCAGTGCAGCTGGAGCAGGCGGTCCTAAAGGAGGGGCCCGGAGAGGTAAAGGCCCCCTGGTGAAGCAATCCAAGGTAGAAGACCTGCGCTTGAGCCAGGGTACACTGGGGGGAAAAGGCACAGTGGAGAAAAGCTCCATCCCCATCCCCACAATAATTGTCAAGGCCCCTTCAACCAGCAGCAGTGGGCGCAGCAGCCAAGGCAGCAGTGTGGAGGCCGATGTTCCTGCATCAGGGGAGGCAGATGAAGCCAAAACAGCTCATGGTCCTCCCCCCTCCAGTCCTGCTCCGCAGCCCCCTGCCCCACCTTCCATCCCAGCACCACCGCCTCCATCCTTACCCTCAATGCGTGCCCAGGATAATATGGACTATACTAGCCAGTTTGGTGCTGCCATTGTTGGCGCTGCTCGCAGAGACAGGGAACGGTTTCATGAACTCCGCCGAAAGGGTTCCTCAATGTTCATGTCTGCTGATGAGGACGTGATTCTTGGGGGAGGGAGTGATGGCATTTCAAGGACTCAAGTGTCGCAGCAACAGCTTAGCACACAGGCTGAAAGCTCATCAACACGGCTGCGCCCCTCCAAGTCTATTGATGAGGGCATGTTCTCTGGGGACAGCTTTATCCATCACACCCGCAGTATGCCTCCAGCCTTTGACCTACCTGAGTACTCCTCAGCTGCCCAGGACTATCAGCCCAAATCTGTACCTACTGACCTTTACACTGGCAGGCAGTCCGCATCCTCTAGTAAAACCACCTTCATTCACCCTCTAACAGGAAAGGCTCTTGACCCCACATCCCCCCTAGGTCTCGCCCTCGCTGCGAGAGAGCGTGCTCTGAGGGATGACAGCAGGTTAAGGAGGGGAACAGAGCCCCACTTCACCCGCCAGATATCGAGTGGGGGGTTTCCTTCTTCTTCTGTCACCTCTCAGCCAGTGTCTTCCACCGCCCAGTCCTCCAGCTCCTCTTACCTGGTCACCTCATCTTCTTTGGCTGCTACCACGGCCACTGTTGGCCGCCCACCCTCACCCAGAATCCTCAGAGGAGTCGGGAGTGTGTGGAATGAGGAAGGCGGTGGAGGAGAGAGAGAGCGGGAAGGAGGAGGGGCACGTGAGGGGCTAAGAGTTCGCTTTTCTGAAGATAAAACGGTCCACACACACCACTACCAGTCTCAGCCGTTTCAGCCATCCTACAAGGAGAGGGAGCGGGAGAGGTCGAGGGAGCGGGAGAGGTCGAGGGAGCGGGAGAGGTCGAAGGAGAGGGAGATGTCAAGAGAGAGAGAGAGGGAACAAGAGAGGGAGGGTTACTTAAGAAGGGCAGAGCAGGCTGCTGATAGTGCTGCTCAACAGGGGTCCCAGCAGCCTCAGAGACCCTCTTTTCTCAGGATGGAAAGTCAAGCTGATGCCTATATCTTGTCCCTCACCCCTCCCTCTCCTCCCCCTACCGGTACTCAGCAGACAGCCAGCAGTACTGGGAGCACTGGGTCTGGTTTGATGGTTCTTCCTCCCCCTGCCCCTTCAATTGATGCGGACGATGAGTTTGTCTACGCAGACCCTCTCCCACCTCCGTTACAGTTTGCTAACAGCTTCGACAGGGGGATGGGGGGAATGTCAGGGTACTCGCAACACGGGATGCGCCCCAACAGCCTGCTTTCCCGCCAACAGCAGGTCCCGCCCCCTCCACCTCCACCTCCTCCTCCACCACCTCCCCCTCCAACAACCCAAAAAGAATCATTTATAGGTGGGTTTCCTGCTCACACACCCCTGCCCTCACCTCAGGCAGGGGACTCCACTGCCTCCAGCCTCACATCGTATGACAGCGAGGTGGCTAACCTGACTCAGTCCGCTCACTCCCCCTCCCAAACCTCACCCAACCCTCTGCCCTCTCACTCGCCCTCTACCCTGCAGCCCACCTCAGCATCGAGACCTCCGCCTCCCCCCTCAGTCTCGCCACCGCCTCCTCCTGGATCCTATCACAGACCCTTCTCTATGTCCCACCCCCACCACCTTTACAACAGCTCTCACACGCCTGGGCGCTCCCCCACGCCTCCCCCACACACAGTCACGCCCCCCCCGGCCTACCGTGGTCCCCAAGCCCCCTCCACCACTGCTGCCACCCCCGCTCCACATAGGGGCGCTGCCTCACATGCCATGACCGCTAGCTGTGCCGCTACAACCACCGCTGCTGCCACCACAACAAGCACCTCCACTCAGCTCTACCAGGAGCGCACACACACCACACACACAACATCTTCCACTGCCATTAGTCGCAAGACAGGGGAGCACCGCCGTCCCAGCCCCACTACCAAGAAAGGAGAGTCCCTGGAGACGGTAGTGGACTCTGGGATTGAAGAGCTGGACAGCCGCAGCAGCAGTGACCACCACCTGGACAGCATCCTGGCCGGGGTCCGGGGAGACAGGCTGGACCGTGGGGAGAGGGGAGGACGGATGGGAGGACAGGGCGGGACAGGGGAATCAGAAAGGGGAGGAGATTTTCTGGAGTCCTATATGAGCTATCTGGACGGACAATCTTTTGAGATGCAGAATGCGACAGCAGCCACCTCCACCTACCCGAAAAGCAACAGGTTCAGAGAGGGAGGTCGCACCAGTGACATCCACAGGCAGACCAGCACTGCTCCTGCATCCTTCCACTCCCACAGACAAAGGGAGGAGCAGACGGAGGACGAGGCTGATGACGGAGTGGATGAAAGTGGCAGGGATCGGTATGGCTCGAGGGACATGCATTTGGGACGTCCCGTTTCACCGTACTTTGATCGCCCTCGCACCCCTGAGATGAAGCCTCTCTGGGACGAGGGGCAAATGGCCGGTGACCAATCTGCAGCACTTTTAGAGGGGAAGAAGATTTACCCTCCTGCATCCAGTATGAAGCCAAGCATCATAAATGAGCTGAACAGTAAACTGCAGCAAAGAACCAAGGAGACCTGGAGCAGCCAGAGAGCGCTGAGCAGACACAGGTACACATCAGAGAGAGCCTCAGCTTTATGTTTCTCAGTGTTACAACATGTTGTTGTTGAAGCCTTCTGTGAAAAACGCTGTACTGTCTGTTTATGTCTTGTGTACGTGTTTCGTCTATACTGTGTAAAACTCTCCTTTTATTTTTCTGTCTTTTCATGTGTTTCTCTCAGAAGCAGAAACAGGTAATTGTGCCGGTTCTCCGCTCCTTTTTTTTCTGTCAGGAAGAACATCACACATTTGCTTGACTTTACCGCCTATTGTGATACGCAAGGAGAGAAAACGTTGTTAAACATGTAGAGCACTAACTTGCACACAATCAAAAAGCTGAAGACCACAAGTCCTTAAAATAACTGGAAAATGATGTTTCCCTTAATGTGTGTGCATTATTTTCAGCTTACTGTTTTAGTTTTTTCTATAAGGATGTATCTTGTAACAGTTTCTCTCCCTCTCCATTCACAGATTTTCAGAAGACTCAGCCTCAGCTCTGAGCCCCCCCCCAGCTCGATCCACGTCACCGTCTCCGATTTCATTATCGCAGCCATCATTGTCCCCGTCCCCGACCCCGACCCCTACTTCCCAGTACCCTAACTGGGGACGTTCCCCATCTCCTCAACCTCAAGTTGCCTCTCAGCCTCCACGTTCCCAATCCCCCCTGTCCCCAACAGGTTATGCTCCTTACCCAACTTCCCCCAAACACAGACCTGTCTACCGGACCAAAGCACTAGAATTTCAGTTCATCCCGAGTCGAGAGTCCCGTAAAGCAGAGTCACACATGATGCAGCGTAGGCGAGCACCCAGCCCCCTCATCTCCCCCTCAGAGAGGCCCAAGGTGGATCCACCACGACCATCTTCCCTCCCGCTGCTCCCTACCACTCCTCTCTACAGTGCTATGTACGACCTCCGGGGTTCAGTTACCCCACCATCACCTGGAAACCCTCTTGGAGATCCTTACTTCTCGCCTTCCCCTCCCCTGTTTGCCCCTTCTGGTGCCCCTCCTCCTCCAAACAACGCTTTAGTTGTTTCTCGCTCCCTCTCCCCAACTCACTTCCTGTCAGGGACCTCTTCTCCGCCCATGCATCCTCACCCTCCACCTACATGCCTGAGTTATCCCCATCTACCGCCCCCTTCCCCTACAAAGCCTTTTGCCGCCAAGCCGCTGCCCTACTGGACCAAGTACGATGTTGCAGACTGGTTAGGATACCTGAACCTGGGAGAGCACAGAGATCGTTTCCTGGACAACGAAATTGACGGCTCCCACCTGCCCTCCCTAACAAAGGACGACTTTCTGGATCTGGGTGTAACACGTGTCGGCCATCGCATGAATATAGAGCGTGCCCTGAGGACAGTAATGGACAGGTATGGCTTCAACTTTCCAAGTCAATTATTTCAATCATGAAAGTTTTTTTTCTTTTTTATTAGAGATATTTATTTACATTAATGGACACATCTTAAGGGAGAGGTGCCGCTGTAAGTAGTATAAAACAAAAGACCTGTGGGCTTAGACCTTCATATACAGTATACAGTCTATTGTTTAGACACTGGTTGAGATGTTCAGTAAACTTCTGATGATGCAGTGATGATGCCTGAAGTTACAGCCAACGGTAGGTGAACAGATTTAAAGTTTGACAGCAGCACAATGATTGGCTTTTGGAGATTGTAGCAACATGTAGTTGGGGAGCTAAAAGAGTGACTGCCCATAGTCAGCTTAGTAGGGTTAGGGTTAGAGTTAGAGTAGTGAGAGAGAAAAGGAGTTCAGAATGAAAATGATGGTAGTCTTTCTGATTGAACTTGCTAAGCTTCATTTGGTTTCATGCAGTTTTCTCTGTTAATAAACTTTTTTTTTAAAGAACCTAACATGGACAGATGTAACCAAAATACATATTAAACTATATTTAATACAAATAACACCTAGAACCAGAAGCTTCCATGAAAAATGTTTTCATTATAACAATTTTATTTAAACTAGCTTTTCATTTAAAATTGTAATTTATTGTATGTTTTTTTGTTTCATAAAGCAAGATTCCATTACAAAAACACTATGAAACAACACCATTCACTATCGTTTTACAAAAAATGATGTGTCTGTTCTTCTGTCCTCAGGCTGTCCAGCAGCCCATTTCCCATTTCTGTTCTCTCACCTCGGGATGGACAGATTGACAGGAGGAGGGACGATGGGAGTCGGAGCTGAGGTTGCAAACGCAGAGGCAGGAGAGAGAGGAAGAAGGAAAGAAGGGTTTGAGTCAATGAGGGAGGAAGGCACAACTGCTGCTATCCATGGTGGATTCACACAACAAATTAGGGGGGAACATATTTACAGAGAGCGACAAAAAGAGGGAGGCAATTCCCAAAGGGAGATGGAAACACATGGAAAAAGAGCTGATGATCCATAAAGAAGCCGGCTGGCGCTCCCCAATTGTGGCACGCTGATTTACACAAGTACACTCCCCATATGCATGCACTGTCACACCCATCAACAAACAAGTAACACAAATACAGTTTAGTCCAAAATGCATACGAAGACACTATGGCGAGAGCAGATATAACAAGGGAAGCGATGAAACCGAACCAAATACTTGACAGGAACAATCAAAAGCCTGTTAGATTTCTAGAATAAAATCAAGCAGGTTTTGATGTTGTCGAGTTTGAAAATAAGAAAAGGTGTCCGTCAGTGTGCAGCTGTTTGTTGCTCTAACCCCTCAGCCTGCTGGTTAAATCTGTTCAGGTTTAAGAGTGGAGCCCACCAAGAACATTTAGAGTGCAATCAATGACAACCCTGCCCCGTGTGAATGGATGTTAGTTTTCAAATATGTGTGAATATCATTGAGGAATGCATATTTGAGGGTGAGGCTGCAGGTGTGATGCTTTGTCTAACTGCATGGTCAACGTAGGATGGCGCAGGGCAGTAAATCATGTAGACCGATAACTGGCGTCCTTGATTTAAAACCAAGGATGCTGGCTTGGGTTCGGCTTTAATTGGTTTACGTCCTGTTTTTACCTCACCGCTGGTAGGGCTCCTTCCTCACTGCAGATCCTGTGATCAGGATCTGCAGTGTTTCTCTATAGCTCTTTATCATCTGCAGTCTTATAACGACATATATACAGACTGGTCACTGTATCACACATTTGTAGCAAAAATAAGTGCCCAGACCAACAAAATAATATAAAAAATGTAAACACTGATACACACACAGGCACCCGTGTTATACTATACACGCCTGCATGCATACACCAACATGTAGACGAACACATACCCACAAGCACTTGCAAGTGGTTGTGTTAGAGTTTATGGGACACCTTATATATAGACACACTATATGTTTGGATCCGAGATATACTTATACAAAAGGAGACAGACTGTGCTTTCAACAATGTGAAGAGATATCCCTCGAGGATTTTATTTATGGAGAAAGACTTCCGTAGCGTCGGGACAACTGTTGAACAACCATTCAGAACTTCCGTCCGAGGGAGACTGGAAAGGAGAGGGGAGGGGAAGAGGAAAAACTGCCATTTACTTGCTCTTTCCCAACCAATCCCCCCTTCTCCTTCCAGGAGAGCCCTCCCCCCCCTCTCTCGACTAAATCCAGGAGGAAACAAACAGCCACCCGGCCGAGGAGATCTGAGAGAAACGCTTATATCGAGTTTTAATACTATGATTGTTCTTACAATTTTTAAACTTTAAATGGGAATACTGGAATACTGATATTGATATGAAGAGATGTATTATTAGTATATATCATTACTTTCATCGTCCTTACTGTTATAGTTTCAGAGGGTTCCTGCTTTCTGCCTTTGGTGGCTGATATGGCGCTTTGGGCAGTACGTTTATTTTCTGACTGTGATGAAGAAAATTGTCTTGGTTATATATATAAATATATATGTGTTTACTATAAATAGGTATTTTTGAATTGAAGATGCATATTATTTTGTGCACGGTACCCTTAACATTGCTTCTATGTGATAAGAAGCATTGCAACTTAATGTGAAGCACATTTCAGATACACTTTCTTTTTCTTTCTCCTTAGGCTACTGCTTCTCTTTTGTCAAACTGTGAGGCATTTGACAAGGACAATAATGGCTTAAATATATATTTGTTTTCTCTTTTAAAAGTTAGTCGCCAACTTAATAATATGCAGATACTGAATGTGTAGCAACTCTTACATTAGGGATGCCAATACAAAAAGTAAAAATCTATGTCATTGTTTTTCCAAATCATATTGTACTAAATGTCTTCTATTTCTCCATCAGCTTCCACTGCACATGTACATCGCCTTACAACTTCAGTCCTGATTTCTCACTGTTGATGATATCAAATATAAGGGCTCTCTCACGACTTCTCTACCTTGAACAACAGCTCACCTCTCCTGCTGCTTCGAGTCCTCAAACACATATCACATGTGCGATTTACATCGAGGTGTAGATGGAGAGTTTCCTTACTGCTATCTAGCCTCACTGTTTTTGCAAAAAGATAAATTATTTTTCAAAAGTGCACATACACACAAGCACGTGAATGAGCAAAAGTGGTTTTGTCTCCGTAATTGCTTGGTGCTGGTGGTCAAGGAGGGATTTTATTTGAATGCAGGGGAAATGGCAATAAGGACGATGAAAACAATGGTCATCTAATTATGGTTCAAGATGTAAAAAAAAAGTCTCAAAAGTTCTAAAGAATCTCTGTCTTCCAAATAATGTTTAACATAAAGCTACAATGTATTTATTTAACTGTTGTGCTTTCTATACAGTTTGACTTGTTCTCTACATCTTCCACTGTTAATGACCTGACAGTATGAAGAGCTCCAGTCGGTTTCCCACCATTTGCATCTACATGGCATTTTCTGCAGTCGTGCATATGTGCTGTCTATGCTCACAGCTAATTGTTTATTACCAGCATATTATGCAATGACCCTATTTCCATTAGCAACTTTGGCTTTTCACATTTCCCTTTAAAGGTTTTAAAGTGTTTTTCATCTAAAAGGGCGTGTTTCTGATCGGGTGAACAAGCAGAACGTGGCATCCTTTCCAAACTTATTTCAGAGCCGAGTTGTACATGTCCCCTTCAGGTCTCTAAAACATTTGCTAGTGAAAATAAGGCCAATTAATAACTGTGGATAAGACATCTTGAAATAATCACATACTGATAAAATGATGTTCACATTAAGTTATATTAACATATTTTTTGGAGAATTGTCCTTAATCCTTTCTTTGCATTTTAAAAGTAATGAATATATATGGTGGCTCATCGTTGCCGTCAGGAGAACAAGATGGAATTGGTCTGACTCTATAGAAAGCATTTATTTTCCTTTAAGAGATCTTTTAAAATATGAGAATATGAATTGGTGAAAGGCAACTTACAGAATATATATGTATATGTGATATGCATATACACATGAATTTCAAATGTTTTAAGAGATAATAAATTGTTAGAATTATAAGGATACAAAAACAAAGTTCTATTTTATTTTTTCTGTAATGAAAAATGTTTTATTTCCACCTGGACACCTACAGTATATTTACCCTGTGGAGTTTGGAAATCATTTCTAAACATTTTTTACTCACTTTAAGGTCCCAAATGTATCATCACGCCAGCAAACAGTCATCATGTTAATTTGGGTATATGCTATGTACTTTAACAGAGTGAGATCAAATCCATTATTAGTGATATCAAATCTATTTCAACAAATAAAACATTCATTCCATGCCCCTGCACATTAAGCTAACTCCAAGTGTTTTATTGATACCCTGTATTAGAACAATTGAGTAAATCACTTGAAGGCCATAAACAGAAATGGTAGTTTATGCAGTGGTTATGATAATCTGTATTTCTTTACTCAAGTGTAACATTTGTAGAAAAATTAAGAATCAAAACTAAGTAATTGTAATGCTTTTATTTGATTAAAAATCCAAGCAAATGCAGAATATTAAAACATAATACAAGCAAATCACATTACAACATTGTTATAAAGCAGGTGAAGTATGCAGAGGACCAGTACCTGAAAGAGAGCAAAGAAGAGCAGTCAGAATAGTCTGAATCCCACAAGGTTAACAAAATGCTTTCAGAAATCATCTCCTCAGAGCCTGCCTTGTCAGGGGCAGAGCTGCACTTCTGTCAACACTGTATTTCTGAGCCCAGTGCTATACATCACAAGAGATCAACATTCACAGTGTCTGCAGGAGATTCATGAAACACACCTGATGCAAGTCCAGTCTTTAAATGGGTTTACCGCCTGAGACACCTGAGGGGAAACAAAATGAATAGTTAGTCTCTTGTCATAATTCCTACTTTTGATCATGATGAACCCATTTTCTCCTCAGAAACTCTGGCTTGTCAGGGCCAAAGATGCACTTTTATCTTCATACTGACTAAGAGCCCAGTGCAAGTCATCAGGGGAGAAAGACAGCCAAATCCACCCTGGCAGTAGATGGTATGTACATCTCGATACACAAGAATAACCTCCTAAACACCTGTTATTAAAGTAACAAATGCAAATGTATAATCCTAGTCTTTTCGTGGTGTGGAAGCAGACTATTAGAGGAAGCGTTGACCTTCAGCAGATACAAATTGTGGCGAAATGTATGAATGGTTCGTTTAAAAAACACATAAAAAGTCCATGATCATCCAGAACAAGGTGTCTTATTAACAATTTGATAAAGTATATGTCTCCACAGTTTGTAGAGCAATTATATTTGACATACCTGTAAAGTCCAGTCAAGGAGAGGTTCCACGTGTTGAAAGTGATCTGAAGGGACAGAAGCATGTTTTAATGTGTTGTCATGACTATAACATTAGACCAACATTAGCTGATTTTCTCCTCAGAAACTCTGGCTTGTCAGGGCCAAAGATGCACTTTTCTCTTCATACAGACTCAGAGCCCAGTGCAAGTCATCAGGGGAGGAGACACTGCATCAGACTGTTAGCTACCATGCTAATGTTAGCTGCTAGGCTCACCACGTGGAGAAAGGCCCACTGGGTTACTGATTTACCGGCTTAAAGATGTAAATTCCAGGAACGGTCTAGAAATGGGTGAGTTTAGTTCTGACCTACAACATCCTCAACACTAGTGTTGTAAGTTGCACATGCTTTGAGTGTTAACCACATGTCACCATTTTAAAGTCCACATTCAAATTACCAAAGTATTTTTTGTTATACAGCCTTCACAAAAACCTCCAAGAATGTGTTTATAAGCGTTAATCAAACATAATTTGCTCAACTTTAACGTTGTAAATTACGTTAGCGTGGATGTTAAGTTTAAGTAACCCTTATTCATCCTCAGATCAGGAAAAGTCGGTGGATTGCTGTATTTGCATCAATGCAATACTTAACTATTCAATACCTACTACTCAAGCATGTTATTATTGAAGTGAAATTATTTTTCGATTTTCTTTTTTATCTTACCAGTTAGGTCGGTGTTACGGTCGAGGCAGGCAGAAAGCAAGTGACTGCTGCTGGCGTTTACACGTCTTTTAAATATTGGCAGTTTGAGGCCAGTTTATAAAACCATTGTCGCCACCTACTGGTCTGGAGCAGAACATTGACCAAAAACAAGTCCCAACAGTGACTATTAATAATATTCTTAGGTGGCAGATTCCAAATTCCTTGAGAAAGTATCTCCACCTCAATATTTGTGTAAATAAAAGCTTGAAATAGGCTAGGTGTCGCTTTCCTCCTGTGTTGTAAGCATAACATTGTGTTTATTTACGTCACTGTTACACTAAAAAGCTTAAATACATGAAAACTCGCACACATTTTTACATTGTCACAACCAAATCTCAGTCAAATGAGGATAAATGCTACAGGCCTTGAAGCATTTTCTCTGTATGTTAGCAGGTTTCAAAAACGAGTAGGCCTATAGCTTCAAGCACATGTAAGGAGCGAGGCAACCTGCTTGTAGTACTATCAGGTGTATGTCTGCCCTCTCGTGGTCACAGTGAGTCACTGCAGCTGCCTTCTACTTGTAAAGTAAAATGCAACACCACAGTTGTTTTTCCGAATTATACTTTCAAAATAAAACATTTACATGAGTCCAAGGGATGATTGACATTGTATTGAGGAAAAATAGGAGGGAAGCTTTGCACCACAGGTTGCGAGTCTGAGGCAGGCAACCTGTGTGTACAGTCTACCTACCAGTAGCTACTTAATCAGAAATATGTAGGCCTATGGCCTCTAGTGGTTAAAATAAGGAATATCAACTGCTCTTTTCTAGTGATATCAAACCAGAGCCGTGGAAGATATATACGGCTCTGTGTAAACAAAACAACACAATATAGTAGTACTTCCGAATAATACTTTCAAAATAAAACGTTTGCAACAGACAGATGAAGTTACGCATAATTAGTAAATCTACTAAAAACTAAATGGATATAAAATACAAGAGAAATGTTCAAGTTTAACAAACGTTACAACATGTTTCTTGACATATCAGTAACTTTAAAGGAGTTATTTTCACTTACTTATTTTCACTTACCTACACTGTAAAATGTTTGGCTGTAAAATTACAGTAAATTACTGGCTACTAGTTGCATGGATTTCACGGTAATTTACTGTAAATATTTTACAGTTAATTAGAATAAAAGTACAACTAAATACTATGACTTTACAGTTGCCATGCCCATGGAATTACTGTGATATAGCAGTACAGAGCTGTGGCATTATGGTACCTTGCTGTACATAAATTACAGTAATTACCTGTATGTTCACACTATTACTGTAGAAGTAATACAGTAGCCAGTAATTTACTGTAAATATACAAATCTTAATAATACGATAATATATTGTAAATTTGACTGGGATTGTACCATAACTACACAATTCAATCAGCTCAATCAACAAAGAAAAACAAAGAAAATGCCCATTTAAACTTGTTATTACTCCATTGAAGTACATTTCACAATGTCTTGGAAATGTTGTTACGGCCCCAACCTCTACTCCGCGGTAGTGGCTCGTGCTGAGACCCGCAACATGAAAGAATACACGCAATAACCGGTACTTGGTAACGAGCATTTATTGATAATCAGCCATTTCCTCACACAAGCGAAACGGGAAACAAAAAGAGGTCTGGAGCCGTGGCCAAAAGGAACAAACAGAAGGAGGGAACCCGAGCCAGCCACACCACGGGCCGTAGGACCCATATCTCCCCCCCTAACCAGAAATCAATTATAAACCCTGTGGGAAACAAAATAAAGCCGCAAAAACTGGACTACCAGGTCCTCCAGGCTAAACATAAACACATCTGCAAAAATATGGCCTACAGCTCAAAATGGCAAAGAGGTATTCGGCGATTGTCTCCCGGCGTTAGGATAGGCGAGACATCCTTCTCCTCCAGCTTCTCTTTATATATACACACGGCTGAGTGGAATTTGGAACACCTGGGCAGAGGCGGAGCCAGGGGCAGACCAGGTGCACCTGGGCAGAGGCGGAGCCAGGGACACAGAAAACAAGGAGGGGAGCACTTAACACATGTCTACACAGACATCCACTCAAAGTCAACAATTTTTCTGAAGAATGTGCTGACATGGGGGTTTAAATTGCCATGCCTCTTTTTGGCTTTCGAGCCCGTCTCAGGTTTAATGCCCAGGAAGCACCTGAAAACAATAAGCCAAGACAACAATTTCAATTTACATAGATGTATATGTTGCCTCATTTATTTTAAGGCACATGCAGCGGTGCCCCTTTCAATTTAAGTAAAACCTGCACCAAAGAAATCAATTAGTATTTAAAGCCAAGCAAGAGCGATACAAGCAAGAAAATCACTTAATTTGTTGTGTTATCACAGAGGATGGTCTGAATACAGTATTTTACTATGAAATAATACAGTAACATGTTGTGAAATCCTGGTAATCATTTATCCTGTACATTCACAGTAATTAACTGTGCCTGTATTGATTTCACTGTGACATTCTAAATTACAGTGTTATATTGTGAACATTACAGGTAAAGTGGTAAAACAGTAATTTATTGTAAAATATTACAGCTAAATATTGTGAAATCATGGTAATATTTTACAGTGTACCTTATAGATGTAATAGTAGCCTATACAAATCGTCAGTCTGTGAACCGAACACGCCTTTTTTAAATGGATTACAGTTGCAGTTACTCCAGCTGCAGCAGGTTGTTTATCAAACCCATCAATTTACACTTTTCTAAATATGTTCCTCATCTCTTACTGAGACTTATGTTGTTTACTTATGCATAATATATTCTAATAGTAAAAATCAAAAATAATCTTTGAGCCAGACAAATGTATGTTTATTGAAATAGTTCCCACAGAATGCAACTATGTAAATCTCCCCTCTGTGGGATGAATAAAGGTATTCTGATTCTGAACTGCAGATGTTCACAAAAAATACAACGGGAGACATTCATTTCAAAATAATACTTGCTTGTTAGATTTAGATTAACACTAATATGACAAAAAGCATAAGCGAGAGACGACTAATAGGCAGATGTGTCAATTGCTCAATAAACACAGATAATAATGAATAATTAATTAATAGATTAATAAAGCATGCTACTTTCTATACATTTGATGATACAACCTTAACTGAACAGATATATTTCACATATACATTTTTACTCAGTTCTGATTCAGTATTCACAGATGCTGTACAAAGGTTTTTCTGCAGATGTCAAAAGCTTGGAAATAATCAATAATTGTAAACAAAAGTCAATGATTTTAAACATGCAGGTCTTGAATTATATTTTACATCACTCTGGCCGCAGTAGTTTGGTGGGTAGCCTGAAGAATGCCTTTTCAAAAACAATCTCTCGTGAGATGCTTTAATTTGTTGGTCCAAAGTTAAACTAATATTTAATTGACATCAGCATAAACAATGTTCATGTACTTGACTACACAAGCCAAACAAATTCAAAACAACGTTCATTTAAAGTGAACCCTTTGTAGACAGAGTTTCAAGTCTATATTTGCATTTTGCTTAGGGCTATGATATAATTAATATACAGCTTCTACTTTCCAGAAGAAGAAAGCTGATGTCAAATTCCTAGTATTATTGTTACTATGCTTTAAGGAATGTACGCTGTGCCACTGAAACATTAATTAACAGTGACCTCATTCCACTTGTTGTCATTGTCTGCCTCTTTTAGTTATCACCATTTTAATCACAGGATCCCACAATGTTTTCATGACATGTGTTTTATCATTCCAAATTTGATTATAGTATACCTAACACAGGACTACTGTTTATTAAGAGCAAGTTGTAGCTGGGCGTAGACTTTGCCACGATACCAGCTGTCTAGTTATTTACTTGACATGTTCTGGCAAGGCAAAGTTGCACAAGCTCAGCCTAGCATGAAGTCAGAGCGGGAGTTGGGAGTGTGAACAATTATTCTTCAGGGGTCTCTGACTTCAAAGAATCTCTGCATTTAACACACACACCGGATGTATCCTCCAGCTGTGGAGGCAGGCCTTACCAAACTACCCCGGGGGAACGTAAGGAGAGGAAAGAGGGGGTATGAGGACGAGCACAGGGGGATGGAGTTCTCCTTATCTGGTCATGCTGCTTTGAGCTTGTTTGTAAAATTGTATAACATAGTTGATCACACACACACACACACACACACACACACACACACACACCCAACACAACACACACACACACACACACATCCACACACACACACACACACACACACACACACACACACACACACACACGCACGCACACACACCACACACACAAACAGCCTCTGGCTGGGTGAGTCAGCTATTGTCTGAGTCACCTAGACATCCACGCACACATAAACAAACCAACAATATGGCTCACTTCATTAAAACTTCTCCGAGTGAGGTGAGGCGAGTGAGAGGAATAGAAATAGACGATATTCAACAAGTGGTGGAGCACAAAGAACAAGAGAAGCTTCCTGCAGCTGTTTTGGAGAGAGAGGGGAAGAGAGAGGGAGGGAGGGTGTTAGGAAGGAGAAGGAGGGAAAAGAAGGAAAAAAAAGGAGCCAACTCATCTGACAAACAGTGGGCCAAAGAAAGGGGAAGAGCAGGAGCAGCAGTGTCCAGAAGGAGTGGAAAATCAAAGTTGCAGAAGACAAGGAGAAGTGTAAAGACGACAGGACAGAGAGAGAAAAGGAGCCTGAGAGTCTGTACAGAAATCAAATTTGGAAATAAAAAGTTTTTAGGCTGCCAAACAAAAGAAGAAAGAAGGGGGTTGAAGCAGAGAGGGCCCCAACATTGACAGAGGTAAGGAACTGTGAGCAGCATGTTAGCCTCCCATGGCTGTGTAGTTGCATTTCAGAGAGATCTTATGGAGTGATCGAGCTCCTATTTCTGCTCTGTGTGTTCATTTGTTACTATATATTTCCTCTATGCAATGTATGTGTGTTGTGAGTTATGTGTGACAGGGTTAGAAATGGGGACAGGGGGAGGAGCGAGTGTGTGTGCCAGAGGGGTGTAGGATACGAGGTGAAAGAGTTGGTTGGAAGCTTCAGAT